TATCCGCGCCACGCGCCCTACTGACGACGCAAAAAAAAAAACAGAACCTTGGCCCCATCCAGTTCGATGTCTGGGACACCGCAGGCCAGGAGAAGTTTGGTGGTCTCCGTGACGGATACTACATCAACGGCCAATGCGGTATCATCATGTTCGACGTGACTTCGCGTATCACATACAAGAACGTCCCCAACTGGCACCGTATGTTTTGCAACTAACCCACTGCACTAAACACGATAACTAACAATCCATCAGGTGACTTGGTCCGTGTCTGCGAAAACATCCCCATCGTCCTGACCGGCAACAAGGTCGACGTCAAGGAGCGCAAGGTCAAGGCAAAGTCCATCACCTTCCACCGAAAGAAGAACCTCCAGTACTACGACATCTCTGCCAAGTCCAACTACAACTTCGAGAAGCCTTTCCTCTGGCTCGCCAGGAAACTTGTCGGCAACCAGTCTTTGGACTTTGTCGCCGCTCCCGCTCTTGCGCCCCCCGAGGTTACCGTCGACCAGGCTGTTCTCGAGCAGTACCGACAGGAGATGGAGAACGCCGCTCAGATGCCTCTGCCCGATGAGGATGATGCCGACTTGTAGATATGGGCATGAGCTTGCTCCTGGCTACGGCCAGGAGTGTAATGGGTACACGAATCGAATGGGAATATGAGAGTTGGAGCTGCACAATCTGCAGCTCCAGGAGCTTCCAACATTGTTAGTGAAGACGGAGGATTGGGACGAGGATTCTGCAGAATATGATCACATGAGGCGCTGGATTAGCCGGCGTTTCGACGAATAAGTAAACTCTAGACCATTTGCATGTTGAAATGCGCATGTTGACTTTGAATGAGACCATGATCAAGTTTTGAAATCGGCGTTTCTTTTTTCCCCAAGGGATTTTGAGAGACAGAGAAGAAGAAAAAAATAGTACTGGCAGCATGAACCCTGCCCGTCGATGCAGGCGTAGAGCATTCAGGCTAGACCCCTTACTCTTGCTTTTTGAAGCACTGCTGATATTTTCCTTTAATGGCTCCCCTGGAAGTATACGAAACAAAACAAGCAAGAAAGAAAAGAACAGACTCGTGACCAACAGGGTGACGACGCTACGCAAGTCATTCTTCCTACTCTCTCGCTCTACCTGTCGCACTTGACCTTTTCTTCTTCTTCTTTCTCTTGACTGAATGTTCACGTTTCCATGTCACGATTGGAAATCCCCATGTGATTTGAAAAATAAAATTAGTTTTTTTGATTCTAATCATCCCGCTTTTTTTTTCTCAGTTCATTTCTTACACTACCGACATTGGTCAATGTTCCTCTCTCACATGTTTGTATGTGTCCATTAACCCAAACCAACGTATCCAAACCAACTCCCTAGGCTTTAAAAAAAAAACTCCATATAGTTAACAAAAGTCCGAAACAACCCAATCCCCCGCCAGCGTAAAACGCGGAAAAAAAAGACAAAAGGGAGGAAAGGGAAAAAAAAGGTATATCAAACATTGGGTTAATTCGTTATGCAAGACCAAAAAAAACACCCCGAAATAAAGTTGACCCAGAAAAGGAAACCATAGGGAGAGACATGGAAAGGAAGGTTCTGATGTGAGACTGCATAGGAAATATAAGAAACAAATACATTGTTGATGGCATTAATTAAGTCGCTTGCGCGGCAGGATCTGTGATGGCGAACGCGATGGGATAAACCAGGTCATGAGGACATTTAGGGTGGTGTAAGACGCGTTTACGACTTCAACATGCTGTAGGTCAAAAGGTTAGTATGGCGCATTCACTTTTTCAAGCAAGACAAGCAAAATACTTACGGAGCAATCAACTGTGCATACTGCTGTTGCGGGACGTGACTTCCTTCTTCAATCACATTGCGAATGATATCGTTCTGGTCGATATTGCTCCACAAATGGATGCCCATGGCCTTTTTGCTGTTGAATAGTGTATGTGCTACACCTCGGACTTGGCCAAGGACTACACTGGCAATGGGCCATGTGTTGGAGTATTGTTGGAGGGTGCCCACGTCCAGACGGATCGATTGCTTGATGATGTCGTCTTGGCCGTCGGGGACGAGGAAGGACCAGTACGAGAGATGGACTACGGATGCCATGACGACGACGCAGGTGAAGAAGGGCGTGTGGTAGAGTAGGTTGCCGGGTAGACGGATGAGGGAAGAAATGTTTTCGGCCGATGTGAGACACTTGGCTGTGTGAATTTCGCGAGTCTGCGTCGGCAGTAAGACTTGGCCTGGTTGCACGCAAATGTTAACACCCTCGACTCTTCCAAATCCTAGGTTGCTTCGTGGCCGGTGCAGCATAATTGTGCTGCCTGCATTGACCATGTGCGCTTGAAATAGCACCTCGTCGATGTGGCCGTCGTTGTTTACAATGTCTATTTTTGACTGGGGGAGGTGCAGCCGCCAGTTGCACAGGAACTGATCAACAACATCGACGGCGTGGTACTCAAACGTCGAGTCGAGACGTGCGCATTCAAAGACTTTGCCAAGGATTCGGATGGCGTCGATGAGGTAGGTGAAGGAACTGAACGTGACCAACGACGGCAGGAATGCTGAGTCGTCATAGTCCTGTAGAGTCGATGGGAAGGGTATTCGCTGGGAGCGTTGTTAGTCGCTTTTCGTCTTACGGATATGCACAAAAGCAGTCCAAAACGGCATGGTGGCTGCGGGTCATGTACGGTAAGAGTGAGTAGTGCAGTAGCCCATGACCAAGTAGGGAAGCATTGCCAAGAAAAGGGTCAGATCGGAGTGCAGGGGTCTTGACTTACGCCTGAGAAGTACTGGACGTTCTCGCAAGGAAGTGGGACGTCTGTTTGAACATCCTTTAGCCTGAATTGCACGCCCGGGTTAACGGCTGTCATCATGCCGTTTGCTGTGTACATGGACCACCACGTCCTCCGCCAACTCTCCTCAAGCTGTGCGTCGTTTTCGCCATTCATCAAAGCAAACTCGATACGGTGGAGACCAATTTCTAGCGTCAGGTCCTGGGCCATGGTGAAGACCTGTGCCGCTCTGGGGACTTGGTTATGAGCATGGAGACCAATGGCAAAAAGCAGCATTGCTTGCACCGACCATCCGTCTCTTGAATAGTTGCCAGTGTTGATCTGGCGGTCCAGTGCCTCCTGGTACATGGCAGTAGGAACGGCAGGCAGGAAACTTGAGCCAATGAACTGGACGGCATATTCCAAAAGAGGAGCCCGGCGGTCCTTGAAGATATCGAGTAGCCTCGGCTCGGGTAAACAAAAGGGATGTGAGTTGTAGAAGAAATGGTAGAATGCCTGGACGGCCGTCTCGGGCCCATGGTGACCGAAGCGGTTCAAGCGGGCAGTGCCGTCGAGGTTAAGCTGAGCAACTGGCGGGGCAGCTGCTCGAACTCCGAGACCATGCAACGGGCTGAGTTGGTTCACATCGCCATTGTACGAATAGTCAGGCGAGGACATGCGACCATTGCTGGCGGCAACCTCAGCAGCAGGTAGTGCTAGTAGTGTTAGAGGCGAAGACGATGTGGCGGCCGCAAAAGAACAAAGTACTCACCATGGGCGGCGGGAGGGGCGGCAGGCGCAGTATTGTCGTCCTTGTTTTTGCGCTTGCCCTTCCAACCCCGTCGTGACTTGATGTAGGTACATTCGACGTTATCGGTCCTACATCGGGAACACTGCGCTCCGCCGTCGCATTTCAGATGCCTGCTTCGACACTGGACACAGGCGACGGCGACCGAAGCTCTTGCTTGGTCCCCGGATGACGCCTTTTGGCTGCTCTTGAGGCCAGCATTGGAGCCGGCACTGCTGCCATTGGACGACTGAGGCGTCTGAGCAGGTGGAGTGGATGTCCCGACACTGCCGGAGTGGGTCGCAATGCTGGAAGTAGGCGACAGATGGAGTCCTAGTGAGGGCGAAAGAGAGGCCACCGAGTCGGGCGGGGAGAAAGGCTGGTGGTTGGCCCAGATGGGGTCATTGACGGCCGCAGAGAAGGATGACTGCCCAGCCGTCGCGTGGGTGGACATGGGCATGGCGGAAGGAGGCATGGGCGCAGATTTGTGCGCGCTCGTCTTGTCTCTCTGATCTATGGTGTCGTCGCAACGAAGCAGCAGCCGTCCGAGTGGGCGACACAGCAGCAGGAGTGCGCGACTGTGCGTATGGAGAGACGTTTGAGGTTCAATGGGTGCGGGCTGCTAGCACCGACTTGACTGTTGACGGGCCCGCACGTGACGGCCATTGCGGGTTAGCGCCAAGCAGCCGCACCCACTGCGAGCCCGCCATCAACTCCCGCACCGCTACCAGCCCGCCCAGCCGCCCTCTCCCGGCTCCGGCCATGCGGAGGGCCTGTCCGTCTGCTATCCATTGCGCTCGCCATGCGAGCCCCCTCTGCGCGCGCACTCGCTCTCTCTGGCCAAGCCGTTGCGAGGGGCACGCAACGACACCGCGGTTCCAGCTCACCACCACGACCACGACTACCCTCACGCTCGTTCGCACGCGTGGGCGCAAAGGGGGCGCGAGCGTATGTACCGTCCCCAGCTGAGTCGCGGGCTAGCCGCTCCATCTCGCCCCGCCATTGGCTCCGATTGCAGATCACTCACGGTGCCTGCAACCACCAGCTCTTGGCCCCTCGCCGTTACGCATACCTGCATGCTCGTACATATATACACTGGCGAGTAACATCTTCATCCTCGCATCCATCTCGGAAACAGCCCATTGCTGCATCGCCCTTGTCTCGTCCGTCTTGCTATCTTGCCATCTTGCTATCTTGCTGCCTCGCGAAAACGACAAGTTGGCAGCGCTTGGCACAAAAACAACCCGCTGCATGGCTGCAAGTGGAAATGGAAATGGCTGTGTACATATGCGCATAGTACATGCTCATGTCACGCCTGACCTCACTACGTTTCATGCAGCCAAAACTAATCCTCGTCGCTTTTGCTCGCGTGGCGACGTGCAGTGCGCCAAAGCCACTGCAAAACCGCCGCCCTTGTCTGCCAGCCGTTGCTTTTTTCCCTTTCACCCCCTCCATAACCCCTTCCTCAATCGCCACAGCAGCTGCTAGGTCACCCATCCAAATCTCCCAACAGCCCTTGGCGGCGCTACACAAAGGCGTGGCGTCGTTACACATACAGTACACGACAGGCAGTCATTGAGTGCTGAGAGGCCATACGATCCGCCTTCAAATATAAACTTGACGTCAGTTGTATTCAAATCTGTACAAAGCTAACAAGCGCCTCGTTTGCGAAAGGAAAGAAACAAACGCCCGCTGCTAATGCTAAAACTTTTCCCTCAACAAAGAAAAAAAATGACTACGAAAAAAAAACGTCCGGAAATCTAGCCAAAGCCATTACGAAAGCTCTCAAGCGTGGACTGCATGCCCACTAGCACTGCGCGTCACTAACTTCTTGCACATCGGGACACCGACCCTTGGTAAAGTTCCACACATCTCCAGCGCAATCCCTGAGATTCCTCTCAGCCTTCCACTGCAGCTCAGTCTCTGCTCGCTGCACTTCAGCCACACAAAAACCAACATCTCCCGCCCTTCGTCCGACTTCCCGTGCTGGGATCTTCCGTTGAGACACCTCCTCCAGGCTGTGAAGCACTTCACGAACCGTGTGTCCGTTGCCAGTGCCTAGAAAGAGTTAGCAACCACATCTAGAGGGGCGGGCTGTAGGCGAAAATGCAGCTTACCCAGGTTGTAGGTTCGGAATGGAGCCTTTGTGCGACCAGCTGCTGAAGCAGCCAAAGCCGCGATATGACCACGAGCCAAGTCGACCACATGGATGAAGTCACGCACAGCGGTTCCATCAGGAGTGTTCCAGTCGGTACCGAAAATATCCAGCACCGGCCTGGCTCCCGTCATGACTGTGGCAATGACTGGGATGAGGTTGCTTGGTTTCTGTCGTGGATCTTCACCTAGTATTCCGGATTCATGGCAGCCGACCTTGTTCCGTTAGCATTTCTCGTTTGAAAAGTCACTTGAATGAGGGCTTACTGGGTTGAAGTATCTCAGAGCAGTGATGGACCATGTCGGATCCGCCACAGCAAGATCTGCAAGGATGGATTCGCACATGAATTTTGAACGTCCGTAAGGCGAAGTGAGACCCAAGACACCCGGTAACACCTGACGCTCGCGTCCCTCACCGTCGACAAAAGTCTCTGGATGATGCACGCATAGCTCCTCGCGTAGAGGCACACCACAATTGGCACCCTCACCATATACTGTAGCCGAGGACGAGAAGACAAAGTTCTTGATGCCGAATTGCTCGATCAAGCCCAGGAAATCAACTAGACCGCAAACGTTGTTGCTGTAGTACCTCAGTGGCGTGCGAATGCTTTCTTCGACAGATTTGTAGGCGGCAAAGTGGATAACACCCGTTATCCGGGATCGACGCTCGATCACCGGCTCCTGGCGATCATCCGTCTCCATTTCGATGCCGGAATCTGTTCGCTGCAGATTCGTATACGGGAAGCGACGGGCTAATGCTGATACTGGTTTGCTGCTGACGGAATACGAAGAGTAATTGGCCAGTACGATCTTCATCTGCGGACTTCGATAATCCAATTGCTGAAAGTGAAGTGCAGGCAGTCGTCGTCCTTGTTCCCTGCAGAACTCCTCGGCAAGGAATTTGACCCTGTCCAGGACATTTTGGTAAGAGTTGCTGAGGTCGTCGATTACAAGGACATTGTATCCTTCTTTGAGCAGCTCCAGTGTTGTGTGGGAGCCAATGTAGCCCAATCCGCCAACAACCATGATGAAGGAAGAGCCGACGCCCTCAATGTCCAATGGATCCGCTGCTACGTCGTCGTCGAAAAGCACAGAGCTTTGTGTCGCTGGTGTGCTGACCATCTCTGGTGTCGCGGATGGCGACACCGAGAACTGTGAGGAGCATGCAGACATGGCGGCGGGCAACGCGCTTTGCGTGTTGAATGAGTGAATGGGAGCGAAGAGGAGCGAGTGTGATTGCCGTGTTACTGATCTGCTTCTTGGTATGCCAACCTTAAAATCTTTATATACGCTACCTCTGTCTTAATGGTACTCAGCTTACATTGAATTAGGCAGAACACGTCAAAGCCAGACTTTTTTGCGCCATCAATATTGTCTACTTTACTTGGCACGACCAGGCCGCTTGATCCCGATTCATGAGTGCCGGAGTCTCCCCAGGTCCAGCTCTTTCGAATATACTCTTGCATCGCTAAAGATCCCTGTCTAATTTGCATCGCCGAATGCGCAATACCCAGCCGTTCCCGTGCGGGTTACACGACCACGGCTTCTAGAGTCTGAAATTGCCTTCATCTGGGCAAGAAAGAGTTCGATGGACGCAGTTCCAAGTGTTTCCATCCAGGCGGCTGGCGCTGGATTTGCCATCGACAACACCCCTGAAGCGCCTGCAGGGCAGTGGAGATGCTCACCACCCAGCCACGCTGATGAATACTTTTTTGTTGCTACTTTTGAAATACAGGGCCAGATTGGTTTGTTGAGGCTGGACGGATCCTTTGCAATTGGCTGGTAGTAAGCCGTGCCTAAGCTAATGCCATGGATGGGTCTAGCTCGGTCATTGTTCCCATCTACGCCTACCCCCCCAGCAGGGGGCATGGAATCCTTTCGACATCATGTTTGAACCCTTCCCGTTCTCCTGGTAGCCGCCCACCTAACCTGTTTAGGGAACTTCTGAACTTCAAGCACAGTTTACCGCAATCGGAAGCCTGCATGGTGGGCCCGGAGAAGATGCATCCTAGAATGCAGAGTATTCTACAGCCCTGGGAACCGCTCGCTCTGCTCAAAAAACATGTGCACAGTCGCTTACGCCGCAACAAAGTGATGCACAAGATTGTTGAGCTCGGCATCGCATGACATCACTTCGTTCTAATTCGGGGCCGAGTGTGACTTGTCATTAGTCTTGGGCAGGATGTCTGACGATGGGAGCTTCCACGCAACAATCATATGATTGCACAGCGCATTTAGAAACCATGTCTCAGACCCTGAGCGACGGCGTCGGGCTAAAGGAGAGCCGTTCTGGTAAGCTTGCTCTGCAGCATGCGTATTGCCACACCGAGCATCGCTGGATTAGGCCTTGTTTGAGCGTCCTCGTACTCTCTTCTAGTCGAAGAACCAATTTCGTTCATCAATCGAGGTCGGGTTACACAACGCAGCTTGCAATTCGCCTGCTTCCCAGCAGTTGCATAAGCGCGAGGCTGAAATGCAACTTCAGTCCATGATCTGGCCATTCCATCACAGTCTAGATGTCTCGATGGGTCCTTTCCAGGTAGTCCGGAGTCACGCCTTTTGTCCGGGCGCGCTTCGTGACGGCGGTTCTCAGAGGACAAAAACCGGAGACCAAAAGTTCAGTACGATTGCCAAAGCCAGAGCGATGCCCATTTATGCGATTCGGAGTTCCCCGTTGCTACCATTATAGGGAAATCCACTGCTGGACTAGTTCTGCATCTTTTTCGCAGGAAATGACTCACTATTAGCTCCGATCACTACAGTCTGACAGCATTTTGCCCATGTCCGTCGATTGCCTTAACGCCCGGTTGAGCTGAGCAGGGTGGGTTAGGATCTGGACAGCCTTGCAGGAGCAGCCAAGAGGTACACACATGGGAAGCCAGAGTTTTTGCACCAAGGCTACATTTCCTTGTCGCCTCGAGCACACCACGTGTAAGTGAAACCTCGGTCCGTAGGATCAATTTAGGTGCGTCGGCCGGCGGCTAAGGTCTTGGTCTTCACACTTGGAGCTGTGGTGGAAATAAGAAAACCCTTGGCCAATCGTGATGACTTTGTCGTCGTACCCCACCAACGAGCTGATGCAGATCAGGGAGTCGTCAGAGCATCTGTTCGCCATCTAAACAGGTATTGCATCACACAAGACGGACCGCTCGGCCGTCGGGTGATTACTTCCAAAGACGACTCGAACTAGTTGGTCGGGAAGCTGAATCCAAACCAGTAAAGATTTTCACGCAGCACACTCTTAACTGTTATGACCCACGGGGGTCAAGCAGCCCCAGTGTCACACTAACATTGGATGTGCTCAATGGCCATGGGCGGCAGATCTGACAGCCAGCTAATCCCAGACCACCTGCTGTTCTTAGCCAGATTGATAACCCTTAGCCTATGCGCTAAACATGCGCCAACACTCTATTCCAACTTGGATCTCATCTCCGTGCGGAAATTTTACAGCCTCGTTCTATATCGGTTCGTATCTATGAATTCTTCCACACAAGGAGTCGCTACCGGAAGTTCAGTACAGTTCACACCCCATGCCTTTCCCCGGCAGAATACCGTAGCTTCCTCGTGTTTTCCCGGAAGCTTGAATGCCGGCGGCTCTGCGTAGCCTTGCTTGGCCGACGCAGCATATGGGTGTCCAAACTACCGATTTGATGCCGAGCTGAGTACCAGGTTGCATTTTTTTTTGTTTCTGAAGGATTTCAATAGCTTCTTGCGCCAGTCTTAGTTTAGGTCCTGGTCTCGAGCAGTTGACAACGCAAGCGAGCAGCCGGCTTACATATGACGTCTACACTGGACGAGACCATTGGGTAGAGACAGGTGGGCGATGCGTTGTGCGTGGGAACGACAGCTTCCCGAAGGCTAGTCGTAGTGCCCGTTCACCTAAGCGGGCAAGCTAAGCACTCGGCACAACGGGGGAGCGCTCCCCTTGTCAATATAGGCTAGCCTTTTTACAACATGAAGCCGAAGTTACATTTAGATGACGCCCTCCATAGACACGCTCGCCTCGAATGACGGGAGCCATTGCAAGCCGCTCACTAGGGCCTGCCGATCCTCTTCTCCTCCACACCATTAGGATTGCTTCCATGATGTATATGTGCTAATTTTGTATGTGCTTAGTGCGAATCGCTGGTTTTGCCTGCCAGGTTCAGGCGTTGAGAAGAAGACGAACAGGGGCCCGATCTTTTGCCCCGCACCAACCCCTGTCAGCCACAGCTGCTCGTATGGGGCATCCGGAATAGTGGATCGGCCGTCCTGTGGTATGTCGTGTTCAAGCAGGCTTTGAGTGGAGCGCCGTATGACTGGACCCATTGGCCTGCGAAAAAATCGGTAACGAGACTTGGTGTTTCGATTGCTGAATGGATACTCGGGTCTAGAAGGCGCACTTGGTGCATGAAGAATACGAGTGAGGCTTTGTGAGTGCGATGGCGCCTCGCCTCGTTACCAGGAGCCAGCACCGGCCCTGGTCGCCTTGCACAATGGAAGCTTTTCACACACCAGTGCTGCAGGCCTTGCTCGCTAGCCATCACCCCCTCACTTCGTTTCCCAAAGCGAGCATGGGTGGGAGGCATGTGCTGAACGATTGGACGAGCGTCTACTTGTCCATAACCAAGGTTTGCACAATGCCATTAATCCCCTAAATATAGAGGATCACGTCGATATGAGGCCGCGTGGCGTTGTCTCAGATATGTACAAATCCCATGTACCTGTAAAGACCAATATCCGCATATAGTCTTGAGTGCCGACCGCAGCTACCGCCAGGCTTCTGACCGGTGTAGACAAGTTGCTAGACCGGATATTGTAGCCACATTCAACCGGTCGGCAGATATCCCTTGGCGCGTGGGAGTCCTTACCTTCCCTACGGTTTGTTTACTTACATGCATCACTGCAAAATTGCAGCATGGCATGTATACATGACCCGTGGCTGATTCCACCAGTGGGATGATCGACACACAGCACATGCCACCCATGTCACAGGTGCTTGCTTGCTCCTGAGTCTACTGTGTAATAACAAATCTGTAGAGGAATATCGGATGAGCATGGATTCCCCGGATCGCGGCCGCAAGCCTACAGTAGACTCCAGGGGGGTCAATCGATCCTCTAGCCTTGTAGTGGATACTGTGTTGTAGTGCGCATCGATCCACAGCTGCCGTGAAACATTGTATAGGTATTTTTCTCTCTCTCGGTTCTTCTTAGACACCGACACGTATTCGACGTACTACATACAGTACATACGCGCCGGCCGGACGAGAGCGGCGGCACGATTCTCGGCCTTGCCTTCCGGATTGTTGTACTTTGTACGTACGTACGAACACCCAAGACCGCCGCGGTCCGGCATCGAGACCGTGCTAGACTCGCTAGACCATCTCCGGTTCGGGCAGAAAGCAGCAGAGCATCGATGCCGTGGGACTTTGAAAATGCACAAAACACGCAACTTCGGAGGCTAGATTTCGTATATCACGTACACTAGCTGAGAAGAGAGACCGAGCTGAAAAGAAGACGGCCCACGTCGAAAGTGCCAAGAGAAGCACGCCATGCGGGAGATGGTGCAACGATATGTTCAAGGGTATGGTGAGTCGGTAGAGCCGGCTAGGTAGTGTGCACAGAAGCAAAAAAAAAACCCAAGTGCATGTCGGTTGCAATAGACAGCGCTTCCTCGGGAAGTGGAGGAAATGATGATGAAGAAGCATTGTCGCTACGCGACTCATTGAACGATAAACCCAATTTTGTGTAATTATGATCATGTAGTGTATGAAGAAGCAAAAAAAAAAGTGGTTTGTGACCGACCGGGTAAATTATGTCCGAGGCGAGTGACGAGCAAATGGCGCGAGCCGAGAAAAGCACACACAAAAAAAAGCTACGAAGGAAGAAGAAACTTTTTGGTTCTAGTCCGCCGAGTAAGATTACTAAGGAGACTACTGACGGGGGTGGAGAATAGTCTCATGGGAGTTCCTTCTCTAGTGTATACAACCTTACTCCAGTGTTCAAAGTTTGGTACCGCACAATGTTTAAAAATAGTAAGTAGTAGTAGTAGTTTGACACCAAACCAAAGAGACTAACTTGGTAAGTAAAACACGGAAGGGACATCACACACACACACATGGATCGAAAGAGAGAATAGATCGTGATCGATAAACGGCAAAAGCCATAGTAAGAACGAGGAGAAATTGAAGGCATTATCCCAGTTTACAAGTACATACATTACGTTTTCTAGTTTAGCTCAGCTTGAAGAATTATTCCGGCCGCCACCCACGGCCTCACTGACATTAGTAACATCGACACTGCCATCGCAATACTCGACCCAGCCATCGAGCTCGATCTTCTTTAGGACGGTGCTAAACCTGTCGCTGCCCGCGCCTTTGCCACTCTTTGCACAGTAGTCGGTCAGCACGTTTGCGCGCAATCCCTGCGCAGCACCCGCGCCATCCGGATACTCGATGTGGAATACGGGTTTCCCCGCATCGATGAAGGGCGCGAATTCGGCGCACTCGCTGTATTTGACGCACTCTTCGTTGACGGAGAAGTGCACAACGGGGAGTACCGTGGTGACGATGTCGCCGGCGTTCTTGAGGCCGAGTGCGAGGTTCAGCGGCGCCGTGATGTTGGATAGGTATTGCATGAAGGCGATGGAGTCGGCGGGGGTGAGACCGAGGCCGTTGTCGTTTTGCTTTTTTTTAAATTTCTCCGTTAGCAATTTTTGTAGTCATACTCGTTTCCCCCCCCCCCCCCTTGTAGCACCCTTTCCAACTTTTTTTTTGTGTGGCTTGGTAACATGGTAAAGAAGTGGTGGTTGTGAGGTAGAGAAAAGAGAGAATAAAAAAAACAAAACTCACATAACCATCGACGTTATCGGGATCTACCCCGTCACACCCTTTTTCCTTGGCCAACTGTATCCTCGTCTTCATGATAGCCCGCACATTGTCGCTCTTGAGGTCAATCCATCTTTCACCGGCCCACCCATCAAGGGGCTTGCCTAGATCGGTATCTTTGAAGTCCTTGGCGTCGGTGCGCCAGTCCTCGTAACTGCCAGCGCTGAAGTAGCACAGCACTCTGATTCCCTGAGCGTGCAGCGTGTCGATTGTGGATTTGGGCGTGTCGAAGAGGTCGATGTCATAGACGCTGACGTTGGGGGTGAGGGCGTTGTTGGAGGAGACGTCTGGTGGGTGGTTGAGGATGATTTGCCAGGTTGAGGCGACCGAGGGGGTCCAGGTAAGGGTATTGTTTGGGGAGGGGAGAGGCGTGCTGCCACCGTTGTTGTTATTATCGTCGTCGTCGCCGCCAGAGTTGAGGCCTAGTCCTAGTCCTAGACCGAGGGCGAGGGCGAGGACAATGACAATGACGAGGGGGAGCACGATGCAGAGGATCTTGCGGCGGCGCGACCGCGTTGTCGCTGTGGGTTTGACGTCCATGATTATTTTCTCTGTTTTCTTTCTTTTTTTTCCTTCTCTTCTCTTCGTCCCTGGATTGTTTGCTTTGTTTCTTCTACTCGGATGGGGGACTACAGAGTTGTAGTACTCCGTTGGTGACGCTTTAGCCGAGAACTTTTAGGCGCCCCGGGGGCTCAGCGTATAGCACAAGAGAGTTTGCAAGGGGTGGCGCAGCGCGTATAGAAAATGGAATGTGTTGTCACGATGGAAGGGGACACAGCCAACTAAGTTGTTTTTTTTATTGAAGTTGGCCCGTAAGTCCAATAGCATCACGCCGCCATACGGAACAGCCTTCGTTCAGCTCTTGAGATGCAACCCCAGGCCAACACTCTGCATGGTTTGCAGAGTAAGAGGAAAAAAAGGGAGACGCGGCGTTAGCGGCGCAGTCGCGACGTGAGACCTTTTTCTTGTTCGGCACTTGCGGCTGAGGGATGCAAGGTGCATATGTAGTTAATATAAAGGATGTTAAATAAAACACGATCCTAGCTGGAGACGGAATAACGCCTGGGCTGCCGTGATGGTAGCGCGTGTGGCTGGTGCAAAGCCGGGGAAGTGGTTCCGGTTGGTGGAGCGGGTGGAGGGTAGCACGCCATCGTTGTCGCACAGGATACATTGCCACATGCGGACCTTGGGTATAGTAAGGCACGCCGTCAGGAAGTGCGGTCAACGGAGCTGACAGCCACTTCAGTGAACCACGTCCAAGCATGCATTAGCAGTTTCAGAGTGGCGCCTGTCGTTCAGACGGACCGGGGCGCTACACAACAACGTCCCGGGGACACGACGTATTCAATACTCGACCCCCGTCTTTGTGTGGTGGCTGGAACAGCGAAGCGACTTGGCGGCCAGCCTGAAATGCTGACCGCTTAAACTCCCGGCCAGCCATTGCAAGGCTACGCTAACGCCACTCCAGTAAAAAGCAAACATGTAGCATCGCATCGTAAGGCGGCATATACCTTTCGGTTTTTCTTTTAAGGGACCCACTCAGAGCACTTGCGAGTATTGTGTTCAAGCATTCCTATTAGACATTTGTGGCCATAATGTAATCACTAACAATGCAAACAAGTATTGGAAGACGGCCACTCCTCCTAGAGAGGCAATGCCGAAGAGAGCCTGTACGTCCTGCTCGCACCACTCATAGACACCCACAGCGTCAAGGGATCACTGCCTAGCTGCTCCCTGGTTGCGCCAGTTGAGTCTGCTACCGACCCTGGCACCGTGATTGGAATAGTTGTACCGCACGTGTTGCCGCCTGCCGTGAACACGCTCACAGACTCGATGCTTGCGCCATTGGCCGATGTCTTCCAGGTCATGCTGGGCCTGCACAGATCGCGCGTCTGCCGGTTCAGGAATTGCTGGGCCATGTCGTCATGCTTAAGCGTCTTCATGGGCCAGGTCGTCCTAGAGAGGTGTGTCAGCATTGCTTAATCGAATGCGGCCATGATTGACGTACAAGCGTGTCATCTCACTGGTCACAACCTCGAGCCACGACATGAGTAGCGAGAATTGGCCAGTCTTGCCATTAATAGTCGTCGTTGGCACGTCAGCAACCCGCATGTTAGCCTGGTGGAACATGTACCTGCGTGATGTCTCAGTAAACTTTCTCCAAGCGGACACGAGCGGAGAACTCACGGATCCCAGTGCAGCCCAAAAAGATTGCGTATAGCAGTATCCCGGGCATTGTCCAATAGATCGTCGAATGTACCAGCGCCAGCAGACGTATCAATCCATTCCTGCGTAGTGCAGGCAGGGAGATCGCAGTTGTAGTAAATCAGAGTAGCCCAACGTGGCATGATGTTCAGCCCAGCGTACCCATTGAACGACGTCGTCGTGGCCAATGGCCAGAACGAGCTCTGGTTGTTGCGGAGACGTGGGCGGGTGTTGTCGCCAACAACATTGGCAATACCATTGTCCATCCATGCCTTGATGGCGTCGCCGTTGAACAGACCAGTGATGGCAGGTGGAATGAGACCCTTGGTACTCCATCGCTGAGCAGCGTCGAGTCCGACTTGCTTCAGCCAGGCCCTGTTGAAGGAAATTTCTTTTGATGTGTCCGCATAGGTGGCATTGGTCAAGTCCATGTGTGAGCTAGCGTCTTGTCAGCAGTGGCCAGGGTCTTAGTAGCAATTGTACACGTACAATGTGTGGGAAATATGAGCAAAAGAGTCGCGGTTCGATGTCACTGCAAACCAGTTCTCAAGTGGATCAATCTGGGCACACTGAAGACTCCAGGTGTATGAAGTGGGTGTCGTAGGCCAAATGTTCACGCCGGTACCAATGGGCTTGGTGTATTCCGGGCTGCCGTCAGGCTGATCAGCGTACTCAATAGCCCGGGCAGGGCTGCAGCGTGTCTGGCCTAGGTCCGTGTATGCAGATGCTTCAATGTCACCGTTACCGTTGTGGCCAATCTCAATGAAGAACTCGGATCCCGCGGGCAGCCTTGCGTTGAGCGCAGCCTGCCATGTCACGTGGGCCGTGAGATCCTGTGGCGTGACGCGGAAGTCTTGGCCTTCTGGACGGTACAAGCTCGTCTCCAGGAACATGTCGTCAACTTGCGTGTTGAGGTAGATTCTCCTGAAACCAAGGAAGAGGCCCCTGGTGATCCAAGTGATCCACGCGTGTTGCAGAATGTTGCTGGATGGCGCCCAATCTAGCGCAAATGGAAGAAACCATGCCATCTGCTGGCGTGCGCCAATCTGGTTGATGACTGCAGCAGTACCGGCATTGGAAAAACTAGCAAATTCCCATGCAATTGAAGAGTTTGTGATGTTGGCCGGAGTATGGTAGATGCTAGCAATGCTTATCGGCACACCCCTGTCATCATGATTAGTCCTGTGTGTACCTCGTGTTTCTGGCTATCAACGTTTGCCACCAGCGCCGCTTGTGGAAGCTGAGCAGGCATCGTTGCAAATTGTTGCAATTGGGGTAAAGGGGTCGTTTTGCACTTACGTCTTGAGATTGGCTGAAGGGAAGGCACTTGTGTTGGTAAAGGTGACTGGTTGATCGTCCAAGCTGCCACCAGTGCTAACAACACCAAATTCAGTGGTAGGAAAGACGTCCAAGCGGACCATCCTCACACCAAAGTTGGTCTGATAAGCGTACAACTGGTTCCATTGAGCGGTTGTAAGTGCGCTTTGGTACGAGTCGTTGTAGTTGTAGCTGACTTCGCCCACGACAACGATACCACCGTAGTTGCCATTTGTTGCAGAGGCATTGAGAAGGGGAAGATTGGCGATACCAGCCTGGGGGACAAGTAGGGTCTCATAGGGTATGCCATAGCCTTGAAGACCAAGTGAGGCGCTGTTAAGCGCGGAAGTTGCATCGCGAGCGATGACCAAAACGGTGCTTGAGACCGTTGCGCTTCCCACAAACGCTGACACTGGTTGCAGCACGAAAGAAAGAGAGGAGACTAAGCATGCCCGCAATAACGAGCGAGAATAGGACGACATGATTAAAAAAGAAGTGAAACAATGGATGCTTGAAGTGGCTGTCTCTGAGGAATCTAGGCATATTAATAAACAAGGCTCGGCAAAATTTATCCCATAGGTCACCTCTAGTATAACGGTCCAGATGCGGTAAATGATCTAGGGACTATTGATTTTCCATTTTTGTTTCCACCACATTGAAAGTTACGAAGTGTAGTCGAATCTAGTCTCAGGCGTACCACGGCATTGAGTTCAGCTTGACGCCTCCAAAAATCGTGGAGGTGGTAAAACCGGGGAGGAGCTTGCTGACATGAAATGGGGCGTACTATTAACCTTGGCCAGCACACTATTGCCAACTCCTCAGGTGATGCCGGTTGAGGAGAGAAGGCTGATGCCAAGTGAAAGTGCCGTGACGCCGCTGTGGATCGTGAAGGACAAGCACATTGTAGGATCACGCTTCAACTCTCGGCTTTGGTTTCAACCAGGTCGCTGGGTACTTACCGGGGCAGTTTAGCAGAGCGAGATTGAAGATATTGCTACTATGTGCTCAGGCTGTAGTGACAATAGAGGACCAGGGGTGCGGGCACGTACTATACGTAAGCGGGTGGAGAGAGCCGCCGTATGTTGAGGAGATCCCTGGCCAGTGTCTACCTTAGTGGTGTGTGCCTGCTGTCCCAGCAGGCGCCTGGCTGCAGTCAGCCTGTGGTGGATCGGGCCAGGGTCAGGGCCAGGGCAAGAGCCTGTTGCATTGCCTTGCATGAGCGCCGGAGACAAGGCCGGAGCGAGTGCCATATTAGATGAAGTCTGATATTAACGTCGTAGTGTGGAGGAGGTTAGGCTAAAAGGCCTGCCGGGCGGGACGCTACAAGTGGAGAGCCAAATTTAGCGCGCACAGACCAGGGTGAGGGAAACCCTGACATGTCAGCCTCGCCACGGACAGCTCCTCCTGTCCACCACTCTTACCACGTCGCCACCAAGATCCACCGTCGCCGAACCTAGGATCCCGCTTTGGTCGGGTTGCAGTCCCCGGTCGTGTCCGGGATAGATGAATCTGGCCACTATAATCCCGCTAGTGCACTATGTCCATGCTTTTGCCTTTGCCCGGCCCAAAGGCTTCGTGCTCACCAGGCCGCTCACTGTCATCTCGAGGGCCCGCCAAGCGCCGTATTGCGATATTCTCGAAGGATGAGACCGCCTTCTCTGACTGCTGCAGATCCTGCAGTGGACATTGCTTCGGCTAGCCACTGGCCATGGTTGCCAATGCACTGCCAGATCGACGGCTAACTAACACCTGACTGTACTCTAGCATACGAAGCACACCATGCACCTCTTGACCAGCTCTCAGCTGGCTTTCACCAGTCGACTGCCAGTATTTGCCAGCCGTTCTTGTTGTGTGCTTGCCGCCGACTCGCCCTCGTTGTGACACCACTCCTCCATGCAGCGGGCTGTCGCCCTCTTGTTTTTTACTTGATAGCCCATCTTATACCCAATGCCTCTTGTCACCTGCCCAGCATAGGAAACTGTAAAGTCTGTTCAGATTACAACTGTCAGCATATAGGCGCATGCCTTGTAGTCGGACCAGGTCCACGCCGTCGCAACCATGGCAAAGCCCGACGTTCTAGGTATCGAAGCCTTCAAGGATGGCACGCGAATCCGGGACTGGTGGGATTGGACTCTCATTGCCATCATTGCTGCCAGCGGATTTGTCGGCCTTGTCGCTCTCGTTTGGTCGACTTATCGTTCTCTTCGAAAAGTGCTCAAGGTATGAAAAGCTGCTGCACCGACATGCGCCCAAACTGACAAATCCTGCAGGAGGATGAAGACGAAACTGCCTTGCCACGGTCTGTACAAGAGCGCATTCATCTCCTGTCAAACAGCTCAAGCGTCGTTCGTGTTACGCACGCGCTCCCCGCCAAACCTTCATCTTTTGGCGTCTACCTTGGCGCATTGCAAACCCCAGTCACTCCAGAGGAGGCCCAGGTTCTATCGCAATGGGAAGCGCTCGTCTTGGATTACCGGCAGACTGGTATCCTGGAGGCCGTCAGCAATGATGCTGTTCCCATGGGCCCTTACATTATCGCGCGACTCGATCTATCCCATGTTATCACTTCGGCCGTAAAGGGCACTGAGTTGGACCTGTCACAAGCAATATATCTCTTGTCTTGCACAATCGAACAGAACTTGCGACGGCCAGACCAGAAGCGATACTTCACTGGTGTTCTCATTGCCGAATGGCGCAACCGCGTTCCCATCGCTTTGCTGCATGGCCTCACAAAACTTCTTTCAGCCCATGGCTTGGATAGTTATCTGGAGATCGGTGCTCCCGACTTCTTGGATGGTGTAAAGAAACTCGACCTCTCGCTCTTTGCCGGCGTAGTGGTTCGCAATGGTACGATCAAGTCGAATGGCGAGCGTCGCGATTTCTTCGACATGGACAAGATGAAGACGACAACCAGGTCATTTGTTTCCCAAGCTTGCCAACGTTCATTTGTCACAATGATGTGGGATACAGTGGATGATAATGCCGAACTGTCGCATGCTGTTCTTAGGAGAGCGCACATGTGGTGCAGTTATCACGGCGCAGTGCCCTACTTCCCACGGCAGTGCGCCCTAACCAACATCTACGATGTCAGCTCCTGCGAGGAGCCCTTGGCCGCTTTCCAATGGTTGAAGACTCGAAAGGTCATGGATGTTCATGACAAGTACCGAACTGCTCGTACGATTTCGCCTGGATTTTCCAGTCTTTTTGACGACTACGTGCCGCTACAAGAAATTTTCCCTCTCTTGGCTGACACGCTCGCCGGCCTTGATGGAGACATGCCTAACGACGACGACTCATCCAGTACCCTTACACTTACTGTGGAGTATCCCGAGGTTGATGAGAATGGAGTGTTGGTTCCCCAAGAACCCTCATCACCCACGAGTTTGGGGCTCGACTGGACCATGGCAGTGGAAAAGCACACCGACAACCCACTTTCATGTTCTTTCGACGGATCACCATATTCATCTCTAGGGTGCTTTCCAATTGGTATTGATGCTTCCAAAGCAGATTTCGATCGCGTCCTCAAGTCACAGCGGCATCTGCGGGATCTCAAGTTGCTTAGCCGTCTCCCTGTGGAACAGTTCAGTGCCACTGCTGAGACACTCAGCCGCTACGCTTCTAGCAGCAGTCACTTTCTGAACCTTGTCCCTACTATGAGAGAGGCTATATTAGCTCTTGTAGAAGCATTGGACCATGCTGTTGAGGATGGTGCCGACCCTTACCGATTCCAAGCATATTCTGCACTTGATTCAGGATTTCATACTCCCAACGGCGCCTCATTTTGGGGAGTGTGGGAACTAGACCCTCGGACTAAAGCTATCATCATATATGTGTCCAAATCTGTACAGGATGTCAAAGGAGTTCTGCTTCACACATACCTGAGTATGATGGGCTTTTCTAGGTACCAGTGTTTCCTTGCGGAATACGGTCTTAGCGAATTTGCTGCCGGATCATTTTCACCAGAACGACTACCGGATCGGCTAGTTCAAGATCTGGATCTTCTTTCGTCCTCAGAGCTTCTAAATTACCTGCAGCATATTCGTTATTCAGAATGGGAAGAGGAATGCTCGCTGCTCCCTGCGATTCGCGAACGCTGTAAGGAGTTGTTGATTGATGTACCTACGTATCATCAGTTTAAGCAACTGAGCAACGTAGACTACATTGGCGAAAAAGTCACCGACGAGGAGCTAGTGAACGCGAAACTCAAATGGTATCGACTCTCGCGCGTGCCGACTCTTGATGAGGCGCAAGCTTTACAACTCTTCAGACACATCAATGAGGTGTTTACCAGCATACTATGGTGGAGGGATCACCAGAAGCTTGATACCATCACTTCAGCCATCACAGACATCACCAGCCGGGGAACACTCGACTCGGCGGCTGACTTTGTCCTTTTCTGTATCTTCTGTGCAGCCAGGAAAGCCGGATTCGAAGAAGTCTACATTGAGGTCTCAGACAGGAACCCACTCTTCAACCAGTATTCCGATCAGAGTGCGGCATTCGCAGAACTGTTTGCGCTAGGATCTCGATGTGAAGCTTATTTCGATATCAAGCCTAGCGACATGGGTATCTTGCTATCGGAGAAACATAGGGCGTACTACAACCAAGAAGAACACCAGCCTCCGATGTGGATCTTCAATGCGCCTTCATTTGCCTCCGCTTATGCTGCAGCCCAGACAGATATCGACCCTGAGCAGAAGGCCTCCGTCATGCCTGCCTATCGTCGCTTTACTTTCCTCAGTGTCTTCGCAATTCCTGCCCTTGTCGATATTGTGCTTCTCTCCACTACCGGGCACGGCCTTTACCTCAGTGTGAGGATGACTGAAGACGACAGGTACTATGCTACGCTGGCATTGATGTGCTCATTGCTGCTCTCTGGCGCTATAGGAACTTGGATCTCTATTGGTGGCACATACTACCTCATTTCCATGGCATTCTCCGCAGCCAACATGTTTGTCCTCACACGATTGGTTGGTGGCCTGGCTTTTACTCTTGCTGGATGTCTTCTTGGATTTATCGTCATTTCGGCTGTATCAGGACCCGGTCACGGCGCCGTCTTCTTCTTCTACCTCTTTGGACTGACTACATACCTGACCGTCCTGGCTGTGCTTTCCACGTATCAGATTCCTGGATCCAGCTTCCTCAACGGCCGAAAAATCATCATTATGGTCATTCCAACCTTGGTGATCTCCCCTATTCTGACCATCTTCATTGGGATGAAGGGCCATGACATTTATCTCTATCTGGGTGTTTTGTATATCTTCGTTACCCTTTTGATTCTTGGCACCAGACGCGTGGCAACCCAATGGGTAACCTGGTATCACAACATCAAGACACTCAACGATTCGGATATCAAGAACTGGTATATGAAATTGCACTCTGAAAGGGAGCAGGAAGCGACCGCCCTCAAAAACAGAGGTCAAAGCAAGGGTCCAGCTATATCAACTGTCGCGGGCGGATCCCTCGTTGCCTCCTCGGAGGGGTCTTTTAGTGAGCCAGATATCTTCCAGGGCATGAGCGAACCAGCCATTCTGGCATTGTGCCGCAACGCTCTTCATGAAGCCGTCCTAAAAGAACATGGACGTCATTTCTGGCAGAAGTCCACAAAAGATAGCTTCGTGAAACAACTCGCTGGCTGCTGGGATTCGACTTTGTTTTTGCTGGATTGGTACGCTCGCATAACAGACACCAAGCGACCAATTCCGTACAGTTCGACTTGGAACCTCGAAACCCAAGTCGCGTTGGAGAGTATGCAACAATCGCAGAAAGGAATTCGTCTCCACAATTCGTTCATTCACTGGCGAACAGCAGGTGATGAAATCTACTGCGGTATCCTTTACTTCCTGGTCGCACTCATGGACCGTTGGTTGGACATATTGAACGGGGGCCAGATAGTGGATATGCCAGGAGCAGATAGTCCTGTTCAATTGTCGGCTGGTCTTGGACTTGCATACGACTTTGCAGGTGAGATGGACACGGCGCTCCGCCTATCAGTCGGTTTTGGACTCGCGTACTACCTGATTGGAGCTGTCCTACTCGACTACAAGGCTCAGCATCTACACACCCTGTCGGAGCAGATGGCACCCATCTCAATTGAAAACACGCAACAGATCAAACAAGCCAAGGCTAACGATCTGAAATTCAGGCGTCATCTCTACTTCAATACCTTGTGTCGCTTCATCGGCGTCCATGTGTGGGCGCTTGCTTTCTGCACTGCCCTCATCTGGATCTTCAATAGCTCGTCCATTGGGCTGACCCTGTTCCTGTCCTACGTTGGTGCTTACACTGGACTCTTGCTGTATCAGTACAACAAGATCTTCTCTGGCCCGCACGCACTCATGCCATTGCTAGCAGCTGTTGTGGTTGGTTTGATAGTAGGCAACGTACTCTTGGCGGTCTTCCCTGGTTTCCTCTATGACAGGATTATCGCTCTTGCCGCGTCAACTTGGACAGCAGCCCTTCTTTCATTCCGAACTGCCAAACTAGGCATGCCAGAAGCTCTAGACTTCAGCAAATGGGTCTCGGAGTCATTTTCATCAGCCAAGCGTTCCAAAAAGGCAGCAAACACTGTGAATGCACAACCTGATGATGGAACAGAGTCACCAATGAGCGACAAGTTCCACGCCTACAACAGCGGCAACAGCGATTCCGAATACAGTCAAAGCGAGCTCCGCGCATACTGCAACATGATTCGAGCTGCTGCAAAAGAGAACAGATACCGTGTCAATCCAGTTGGTCAACCCGGTGATCAAATCGTTGCGTTGCTGCTATCATGCACTCACGATAGTCTTTCAAGGCAAGCTTTACAAGCTTTCCCGGCCATGCCATCAACAATTCAGCGAATCGTGTCGGCTTGGAGAAATGGGCAAATCGATGTCTTCATTGTCCCTCTCCAGGCGGTCGTCAACTTCAATAACGATCTTCGTGCCATTTCGCACTTTGCCGACGGTCATTTGACGCTGTATATAACGTCGGATGCGAAGGGCCCAGGCTTTGGCCAAACGAACGTGAGCAGCAACTGCACTGCTATTGCCGAAACTTTACTTCATGCGTGCATGGAAACATTCCTCGAGACCCCGCACTCACAAGCTGAGATTGCGGAATCCATTCTTGCATGCAGGGAGAACGACGGTGAGCAGTATGCTATCTCAGAGTGCAACAGACGCTCGATGCCGGCATTGGTTGCTGGGCAAGACGCTTTGTCGTATGGAAAGGCCTGCCGCAGAGAACTTTTGCGAAATTTGTGCCTTGGATTCGACTGTGAAACGCAGTGGGATAGCTTGCCATTGGACATACGACGACTGTTTTTCCGACGTTGTCTCGGCATCCGAGCACCTTACACGAACAAGGAACTATCCTGGATCCACGAAAACATCCGCACCGAAGAGTCCTGTGCAATTCTCTCAGTCATCGCACGCTATGATCTAGGAGCCTACTTGGCAGTTGTCAAGTACAGCTACTTTAGGAATCGAGGCGATCAATCACTCTCCAACAAAGAATATCGTCAAGTCACTGCGGATATCCAAACGGCGTATCATCCGGTCCTCAATCGCTCCGCCGTTTCGATGTTTAGCTTGTTCACTGAATACATCCGCCTTCCGGTTGCTTATGTGTATCACTGTGCTGGAACCTGGGTAAAGTTCTTTGTTCTGGCGTGTATGGCCGATCCCGAGTATCAGCGTGAGCTGAACGGGGCACTACTGCACAAACCGTGGATCGTTGCCAAGCCAACTACATTTCTTCTCACGGGACTGTGGATATACAGCCGACGTGCAATGTCCATAGCTCTGCCGTTCTTCCTCTACCATCGTCGTAAAGATATTGCAGGCCTAGCAGGAACCGTCAAGGGAAGTTTGATCATCCAGAGAAAGAACCGCTTGGTCATTCAAAGTGCCGGAGAGACTGAGACGGCTTTCGTCCACCCTGACAAAGACGGCGGCTTCAAGTTGATCTTCTATTCAGGCGCTCTCAAAACCGAGCCGACTTGGGGTCAGATTCGTGTTTCTCACTACGATAAAGAGATGCGCATCAAGCTACGACAAGAGTGGAAGAATGGCTCAGTCACCAATGAGTTTACTTACGAATATGAAACGAACCAAACGCAAAGCAAGATCAAGATTTCCAAAGTACGGTCAACCAAGATCCCCCTCAGCCGGATTTGCGGCAAAGGCGAAAACGACGGAGCAAAGGTCTTGTACAACCACAAAGGCCATATTGAATCTGGAAGTTACATCAGCCACAACAACCTTGTACGCTTCAAATACCACTACCGAAAGAACGCCAAGTACGACGATGAACTCCTTCGTGCCGAGTTCGTGCTTCCACATATGTCGGCCAATGTCAGCTGGTGCGCGCCTCCTGTTCGCCATGCCGAGAAGACGGAGCGTTGGATACCTACCCCACGTGTGCATGAAGCGACCTTCGTCCAAGGTGCCGACGTTTACGAATGCACATGGTTTTATGATCACAAGTTCCACCCAACGATTACAACCAAGCTCAACGGCATAATGGTTGATACACCAGACATGATCCGTCACGATTGGCTTGGTGTTCTCAAGAAGCCCACCCGCTGCACTTTCGCTGATGAAAACCCTCTACTGGCATTCAAAACTCCGACCTCGAACTTCTTGGGCCGGTTGTTCCGAAGGAACATCAAGCAGCAAGAGATCTCTACTTCGAGAGCTCGATCTCATCTCTGGAAGGCTTGGAAGAAGCGTAATGACCTTGATGGAGTCGTCATTCGCTGGGTCGACGAGGAACTGATCCGGAAGGAGGCTCTGCTAAGACCTTACTGGAGACGCCGTGATCGTGGAAGTCTGGTCAAAGCAGAAGACTACCTTGCCCTACACGCCGATGCCATCATGGCCAGCTCAGATCTCACTAGCGATATCAGCGCGTGGACCCCTCTAGCCATCCGCATGAGCGACCTGTTCAGTTTCGGTCAAGGTGGAGATGCTGTCGTTTTCACCAGGACTAAGGCACTGCAACGCGATACCGATAACTCACTACACGTCATTGCTGTCGACACTGGAACCTGGCCAAACGAAGGTGGTGGTGTCTCAGCATGTCGCCGAGATCTCATCAACAACCTTCGCACTATCAAATGGCACATGGTCGTGGAATCAGCTAACGACTTTGGACTGCCAAAGCATCAGACTGAGGAGAACGTCGAATCCCTGAAGATCATTCCCCTATGGGGCCTGGACTTTATGCATCCCAACCACGGCATGTTCACCAACAAGCTGGACAGCGAGGTTGACCATCTCGTCAAGGCAGCAACTTTGACTGACATTGAGACAAACTTCATTCCTACGCTGACCGCTCTTGTCCGCGGAGCGCGAGCTACTACCATGACTTCTGCAGATGTCAAGCAGGCAACACGTGCTTTGGTTAACCTCAACACATACTTCCAAGATTCGCGCCACTGGAAAGAGGTTTGGACTAGCGACATCGTCAAAGACTCTTGGAGGAAGCTGTGGCTGACAGACGACATGCCGAATGCCCAACCGGCAAAGGATTGGTTCCGTACCGAGTTGCCAACACTTGGCCACTTTGACACTGCTTTGGAACTGTGGTATAGGTGTAAGTAGAAGCTGCCAGCGTACATTGAGTGAAACTAACATTTACAGATCTCTTCATCTTCTCCATTCCGATCCCCGACAAGATCCCGCATGTTTTCCAAGCCTCTCACCACAGTGTCTCTGCGTCTTATGGTATCGTTTGCAAGCTCAAGCGCAACTGTACTCTCCAGATCTGGGACCATGCCATCTCCTGGCGTGAGACTAACCTCTATTTGTCATCGGCCATGTGCACTCTACCACCCTTTATCCGAAACTCGCTGCTAGGCCTGATGAAGCTGACCTCGTGTCTCATTCTTCATCACGCCGATCAGATCCTTCCATGTGCAGGTACGTATATATATCCCTTGAGTTTGTCGCTCTCAACTAACTCCTTTCTCTCAGACTTCTTCAACCCAGGATGGGAGATTGAAATTGGAAGCGCAAAAGGACAGCTCACACATCGCAACGTCTTCAAGCGCAAGGTCGATCCTATTGTCAACGGTATCACTGATATGACAAAGTTCGCTCCAGTCACGGAGATCAAGGCAAAGACACCAACTGTGACCATGTTGTCCCACGTCTGGTTTGCCAAGGACATCAAGACGGCTCTGCTGGCCGCCGACATTATTACAAACGAGTGGGGTTTCAAAGACTATAAGCTTGACATTTACGGTGCTCTCAACAAATCTCCTGTCTACTCTTCCGAGTGTCAAGAGATTCTCGCCTGTAAGGGTCTGGGCCAGAACGTCACCATGCGCGGTACAGCGGATCCAGCAATGGTTCTTGCAAACACCTGGCTGTTCCTCAACTCATCGGTTTCCGAAGGTCTGCCTCTCGCACTTGGAGAAGCTGCGTTGACTGGAGCCCCTGTTGTCTGCACTGATGTGGGTGCGTCTTTGCGCGTGCTCACCGATCCCGATGATGGAAAACGTTACAGCGAAGTTGTTGCTCCAAACGATGCATACGGCCTGGCTCGCGCCCAGATCAATCTCCTCGCCATGCTAGACGAATGGGCACAGTATGCCGAAGACGGCCCTGGTGTCGCTGCTCCAGTCCTCCCCCACAAGCCCACACCCAAAGACGTCGAAATCATCACCCGCCGCATGTACGAGAAATCCGACCACCGCCGCAAACTCGGCATGATGGCCCGTAACATTGTCCAAAAGTCGTTTGGCGGCGAGCGCTACCTCCGCGAGCACGAGCAAATGCTCTGGATTGGCAAGTCCTTCTACGAAATGCTCGACTTTGAAAAGCAAACCCCTCCGCCCCGAAACCCAGCGCGCATGTTGTCGCTTGGCCGCACCCGCACCGTGCCGCAGCGCGACACCATGGACACAACCTCGAGCAGCATCTTCGATCCGCAAATGGAAAAGATGATGCATCCCCGTCGTCCTTTTGCTCAACATCGCGCTTCGGCTGCTACGTCCTTTTCGTCCGTCTACATTGACGACGAAGATGACTCGGGCCCTTCATCCCGCTACTCGCCCGACCTTCCCTGGGAATCTGAAGCCTGGGACACGCAGCCCGGCTCGGCTGGCGCAAGCACAAAGTACGCTACCTCTGAGAGCGACGAGTGGGCTCTCCCTGTTATCCCGCGCCCGACTCGAACGTACTCTGGCACGCACATTGCGCCGATGCGTACACCGTCGTCGTCGGTGGCTCCCGCCAAGGGCAAGCGCCCCATGCAGTTCCAGTACGCGGGCTCCATGGCTAGAGAGGACACTGGTAATGGCATGTTGGATCCCCGCCGCGATGTCCTGGCACGACAGAGCTGGGCGCCTAATAGTGGACGGAGTAGTTTGAGGAGGAGTCATTTGAATGAGATGGAACTCGCCTAAAGTTAATCTTCCTACTTATGACCATGGGAAAGTTCTCTTCTTTTTTTTTTCTCTCTCTTAACACTCATGACCTTGAGATATTTTACCGACGTATATTCGACTCGGATGGATTAGTTTATGTCTGATTGTTTGTCCTGTTTAATGTCTTTTTTTTTGTTTTTTTTTAGGAGAGAAAAGCATAGCATTGCCTGTTTTTTGTTTTTTTTTATTAAAGCGATTGCATCTTTTTGTTTAAACTGCGTTTAGCGTAGCGCTTTTTGCTTTGATGAAGAGATATATTCCCACAAGAAAGAGAGACAGAGAGAATGAATGGAGATTTAGTACGACAGTAGTCATATACATAGTAGAATGTTGAAAGATTCGTATTCTTTGGTGAAAGATGGTGCTTCTTGAGTTGTATGTGATCATATCTGATGTATGTAATGGAAAGTGGAAGAAGATGTATTGGTTGAGGTTGGCTTTGCAATGTGCATGCAGGATGTAGGGTGTATATTCATTGTAGTAGTACAGATTTTAGACTTTGTTGCAACAAAGGGATACGAGGTTGATATTGTCCAATGTACATTCAAACGTTGATTGAACAATGAGATGTATCAGGCAAGGAGGGAGATCAGACGAGGTCGGGTGGGGGGTGTTTTTTTTTTCAGGCACGGGGTGCAAAGTTTTCATCATGTCTAGTTACCCTTGTTTGACCAGTTTTATCTTGGCTCGAAGCAGGTACGTAGGTAATGTGCGCGGCGAGGAACTTGTTTTTGGCGGCATCGTCGTTGGAGGCGGTAGTGCGATTGCGAAGGATATGGTGGTGATTGAATCTGAGCGTTTGACGTCTATGCAAGCCTCCCCCACAGGGCGTGCAGGCGGGGCGAAGCGTAAGGCTTGTTATAGGTGCTTGGGATGTCCTAGTCAACAGAGGTTTGCCTCCAAGGTGACAGATTGTGCAGATACTCATCCGCTGGTTGAGAAGCATTCTGTACTGTCACGTGCCCACGAGAGATGAAAGTAATACGGTGAGAAGCGGGGGCATTGGAGCGGTTTACAGTAAAAAGGTCACAAGAGTAAAAGTGGTTGGAGAGTTATGGAGAGAAGAGTGCGCAGGTGCAATTACGTGTGCTGAGTGAGAAGGTGAGTGCCGCGGGGTTTATTGATCGAGATGGGATGGACATGCGCGAGATGATGAGGCAGATGAAAGGGGAGATTGTGGAATGATGGGTTTGGTAGCGTGTTAGATACTGATCATTGTTTTTGATCGGATTCCGTGGAAAGATGGGAACGAGGGATTGGTGGTGGCCACGAGGACCTTATAATCTCTCGGGGATTATCAAAGGTGGTTTGTTCCGTCGTGACAATGAGAAGCGCCGTTCACAGGGTAGTATGACTAGTAAAATGAGGTACAAACCTGGCATATCTTGAATAACCCCCTTTTCCGACGTCTATACCGGATTTTTCCTCTTCTTTTGTTCCACTCGTTCAATGCGAATTATCCATGGCATATAGGGGGAATCATGTGAAACCGACGTGGTGTTGCGCTCGGACTGGGCCGGGTACAAAGTGCAGTCGATTTCATTCTCTGACACATTAATGTTACGTTACGCTTGCAATATTGGCGAGCGAAGCGTGGTGAATTGGCAGTTGCATCGGTTACTGCACCCGGATGCCGCTACAAAGCGAATTGCATGGCTAGTGTTGCGGTGCAACGAGTCGTGGAGAGATGGCTGAACAATACTGTTGTTTGTGATGGTTGGGCGTTTTCCACGATGGTGGGATACTATAGGCTAAGGTTATAAGTCCACATGTGCTGAGGGTCCCACGATACGGACAGAGATAGATGCTCCGCGCTCTGATAGATACTCCCTCCCGAGCGATAACGTTCAATATCTTGTATCAACTAAACCAGCACACGACTGCGTGTGGTCGTTTTTACTGGCTAAACGTCATCGGGATGTGACCTAACTTGGAGCAGTAACGGCACAGTCAAATGACGTGTTTTGAAGAGAATCATGAAACAAGACAAATCATGACACGGGGAAGGGGGGTTAGGTGCAATGTTTTGATGATGAGGGTGGAGTGGTGGACGAAGAAAAGTGTCGTGGTTGAGCAAATCGACGATACATGCCAAGTCAGGTATGCAGACCAATGCACTGGCTAATCTTGGGGGAGGCTGACACGTTCTATTGATGGGACTGCAGCGATCGCCGAGGCTAGAAGTTGTCATGTTGCCTGTTTGAGCAATTTGGTTCGGTATTTGTCGTCATATGTTGCGGCTCCGCGACAGCGACGGGTAAGGAGTGCCGCAGCCGCGCCGTTTGCGGCGACGACATGTCGTAATGTCAACGGCGCGCGTGAAGTAATACGACGAGCTATCGCGATAGGAGGGACGCGTGGAGTTGCATCGCCGTGATGCCTATCACTTCTGTGACGCTTTGGCAGCGATTTGGCGTATAGCAGATTGTCGATCAGGAAGGGGAACCTGGTTGACGATGCGATGGTAGCCCCTGTTTTCAATCTATTGTCTGGCTCTTATCTTCCGAGTCGTGGTGTAGGCATAGGAAAGCGAGCCGCAGCAGCGGAAGTGACGTCAGAGATGCCGATGGGGTGTTTGTGGTGCAGTCCATGGATGAAGGGCCGAAGACGTCTTGTAAGGGACCGGGGTTTACATCATGCTGCTTCAGCTGTCAAGGTACAAATCCTTGAAGACAGAATCGGGAAGCCATGTTTGGTTGTACCGCTGGCGACCCCGGTTGCGCATCAACGGGTACACGCCTGGCCTTTGGAGTTTCCCCATATCGGGTGCAGTGCTAGCGCCATTGACACGTGACTGTCGATAGGTGATCGGACCGACCAGACAACGCGGTTTAGTGCAGAAGCATGAAATGCTTAGTGCATACTGTATAGTGCCCAAGAGTGGGGATTCGTGTACAGCGTGTATCGGGTGGGCAAGGCGCGGTGCCAGGTGACTTTTTGTGTGAACCGTCTCGAGGTAGCGGGACTCGGAATTCAACGTGAACAAGGCAAATGTCCATGTACACTGGTGGGGCAGAGCACAGAGCAGAGTGAAGCATCAGATGCGGGTGATGAGGCCATGCATTGGCTCTAGATGGTCGTGGTAACGGGATACCTTGACTGATGATTTTCGCATGGCTGTAGCCGTACTTCGCACCGATGCGAGATGACGTTGAGGGTGAGGGTGAAGAGAAGGAAGGGGTCGGGGGTGGTAATGGGAGGAGCCAGTGGTGAGGTGAGGAAGTAAGTGTTTAGCTTGTTGAATATCACATGAAATGGACTACATAGTCGTCAAAGTACGTGGGAAAGGGAAAAGGGCGCATGCAAGCGCCATCAACGCTTGTTGTGGTGGCGAGCTGTCGTTGCTGGGTAGTGTGCATGTATGTATGCTTGCCCTGTATACCCCGCGCACTTTTGGGTTTGTTGGCAAGGAGGTTGAGGAGCACGAGTGCTTGGGAACCCCAGACTACCATTTCCATGGGACAGCGAAACGGCGAGTATCACGGAGGGTACAGACAGCACACAGTACGTCAACAGGGCTGATGCACGGCGCGCAAGGCCTAAGGTTGAAACAGTCTAGCGGAAACACCCTTGGCGGTACGCTAGTATTGGATGGGGACATGGTGTGTATAGTAGAGGTCGATGTACGGTGCATGAATGCATCCATCCGGTTATATGGTTAGCGGTGAGTAGGGCTAGCCGCGACTGGCATTGCATTCCCCCAAAGGGATTTGGGGTAGTGTTGCAAACCAAGGAGGGAGGGAGGGGCGGCTCGCCAGACCTGCTGCAAGAGAGATGTTGACGTTGCAGAGTGGAGGACGATTCAGGTGAGATTGAAATGGACGGCACAGCGGCAGCTACGGGGCTGGTTACTGGCTGTAGGGCTAAAGTTTGCCAAATGCCGTTTACGATGCAGGCTGCATGAACGACAGATGGGCGGCGACTGTGACTGGGAAGTAGAGAGTGACGTCGGCCAGTCAGTCTGGACGGAAAAAGCGCCGGTCGGCCTTTGAGTGAGCAGCAGGCACTTGGCGGAGGTGGTGATAGGCGACTGCGGGAGGCCCGCGCCCCAACGAAATGCGCCTCGACCGAGAGCGGCGACTGAGGGGGAGACGGGAGCGGGTGTGAATGGGGGATGCATGCTATTGCCCAGGTAAATGAATGAATGTAGAATGTTTGTAGCAGCAGCAGCAGTAGTAGTATGATGTACGTATATATGTGCGTGGTATGTGGTCATGTAGACGACATGTATATGTGTAAGGAGCATACATGAGAGGCGGAGAGATACGTGTCGTCCGGCTTGGGAGACAGGGGCAGGGGGCGTGTGAATGGATGGATAGGCGGAAGGATGGAGGGATGGGACGGGTGGATGGGAGGATGTAGTAAGATGGGAGAGAGAGAGGGTGGTGTGTGTGAATGAGTGAGAAGTGTACACGTCTGTTGGCAGAGTGCAACGCGTGCGTGCGTGCGTGTGTGTGTGCGTGCGTGCGCGCGCGCGTGTGTGTAGACTACTGTTGGAGAGCGGGCGTGGGAGCAGCTGCAGGGTCCAATCAAGGCAGGCGGGCAGGGATGGGCTTGGTGTGGTCAAGGAAGGCGCGAGGCAGGCGCTCGGGTGGTCGGGCGCCGGTGGTGTGCAAGGAAGCAAGTCGACAGCAGCAGCAGCAGAGCTTCGCAGTCAGCTGGCCGGGAGGCCATGTTTCGGACCAGGAGTCGAGGCAAGGCAGTCGTAATTTGGCCAGCGGCGGGCGTGGGGGGCACGCTTTAAGGCAATCTGCAATGGACGAGAGAAATGGGGCAGGCGCTGGAGAAGGAGCACGACATTGCGGGTCGTGGGCTCAGGCTGATGCCGATCTCAGCAGCTGCACGTAAGCAGGCGACACCATGTGCCCCAGACACTGAAGAGCGAGCGGCCGTGGACCATGGGGTATTAGGCTTGGTAGCAGCAGCCGTCGGCCTGCCTCTGCATTGACTACTGTCCGTATACGAGGGCGCGGGGGAGCGTGACTGCGACTGTGCCTGTAGCTAGGCTGCAGGCTGGATTCTCGGAAGGACTGCGGCTGGGGAGTCGAGATGGCAGGCAGGCACTTGGGTACTTGGACACACAGTGCAAGACGTGCATCGGTGTGGTGTGGTGCAGTGTATACAGACTCTAGGCTCGCAGCTGGCCGTCTGGCGGAGCGTGGGCGTGGTGCGGGTGCTGGAGGCCATGGGCTGGCCAGGGTGAGTTGGAGTAGGCCTCGGATCAACGTAGTAGCGCCAGCCAGGGCCAGGCAGGCTGGCGGCGGCCACTTAGTCTGCTTCTTGTGTAAGAGCAGCCCAAACACAGGCAAACAGCCGAAGCGAGGCCGGCCAGGGCAGATGCAACGCGCCGACCTGCCCGCTCAACTGGGTTGAAACGTTTGCGACGGCAGCGTCGAGGGCATTGCAGGCAGTGCTTTGCTTTGGACGGATGCTTCAACAAAAGCCTAGTACGGGTGCGGGTACGAGGACGAGGACTGCAATAGTCGTAGCCCAGGCCGTTGCATTGTCGTGTGGCGCCACCCCTCTGGTGCGCACCCAGCAACCAGCACCAGCACCGGCACCAAGACCAGCACCAGTCCCAGCACCAGCACCAGCACCAGCACCACCCGCACACGCCCACGGTAGCAGCTGGCAGCTGTATCCGTGTAGCATGTAAGTACTAAGTGCTACCAGTAGTCTGTATGCAGCCAGCGTCAGCGGCGGTTCGCAGGCCCGTGTTGGGAGCATGGCGAGAGGCCCCCTGGTCAGGTGATCACCGCCACGACGGGCATGCCCAAGCCCAGCAACAGCGTGTGCATCAGCAGCACGCGGGCGGAATTTCCTCGGACCACAGCTGCGCCACTGCAAACGGGCGCACTATGTAGGCTCAGCGCGCATGCCAGTGACGACCAAGTGCCCTCTGTCCAGTCGCACGTCCTTCTAGAAGACGGCAACAACTGCAGCGAGCAAGGATGGCCTGGCCGCAGGCAGGCAAAGCACAATGGCAACCGCCGACGCAGACGCAGACAGCGAGCAGACGAACAGGCGCTCCGGCTCTAGTCCATGTCCTTGTGCATCGTACGTCCGGCTAGCTGCTAGCTGTAGGGGCGACCAACCGTGTGGCCGTGCATGCCATGCTCGTCGCCTCTTGTCTCGTCGCTCTCCAAACACGCCTCTGCCTCGGCCGGCAGCCCGCCCCGCCACGGACGGCCCTCGATGACATTCACCCTCAGTGCCGGGTGCCTGTCGCTCGCACACGCAGGCCGCCAGTGGGCTTCGGCCGTTCTGTTGCAGTCGCCTGTGTGGCCGCTCATTTCGTCATGCAACCCGCCATGGCTCTTCGTCAGAGTTGCACCTTTGCTGCCGGCGACGCATACAGGTTACAGTAGCGCCAGCCCGCAATTGGCCGCGCCCACCCACCCATCGCCAGGGATCCTCCAAGTCCGCCCAGCAGTCGGCCGCTTGTCCTTTCTACCCTCGTTAACCTCGTCACCGCTTCCACGCCAACATATAGCCCCCCCCAGGCCCCGGCGTCACCCACGGCCATCGGTACTTTTTTTAAGCCCCCCCAAAACACATCCATTGCCGCCGGACCTGCATTGCCAAAGGCACACACGTCTCTTGCTGCTGCCTCGTATTGCTCACTACTACTGCCACTGCCACTACCACTACCACCACCACCACCAACACGCATTGTTGCAGCACGCACCAATCCTCGCCTGCACCACGCCACACCACACCACCGCCGCACAGTCATCCGGGCCCGCGCCTAAACGCCTCGCACAGTCCCCGCCACAACACCGCGCGCACCCCGCCGCCTGCTTATATCCCATTGCCTTCGCCTAACCGTGAAGCTGGATTCATACGAGCACCCGCCTCCCCTCACCCACTCGCCGCGCGAATCCACCGCAGCGAGCACTCCCATCACCACGCCTGTCGACCACCCCTCGTCGCCACACTTTGGCCGTGTCAGCAAGGACTCCCCCGCCACCCTCGTCAACCTCTGGCACCGCAAGCCCCACGAGCTTGCCGCTAGCCGCCAACCAGACGAGGACGTCTTGTTCGAGGACGCGGGCGACTGCAGCTTCTCGCTCTTCCCGCAAGAGCCCCAAGTCCACGCCGGCTTCGCAGACATGGCCACTGCCTCGCCCATTGACATCCAGACGCCCCCGCGCTATGGCTCAAACTCTCCCCCAAACCAGACGTCCAACCTCACCTCTGCCCTCAAGCAGGCAGAGGCCCAGCCAGACCTTGCTACCACGCCCGGTCTGCTCAACCCTAACAATTTCGACTTCAACCACCACAATGCCCGTCCCAGCATCAGCGACCGCCACCCCTCCATCAGCATGCTCGGCTCCTCCTTTTACGGAAACAGCGGCGCCCGGCCCATCACCATGAAGGACCGTGGCCGTCGCGAGAGCACAAACATGGGCAGCTTCGCTGGCGGCATGAGCTGGGGCGGCCACTCGGTCGGCTCGTGGATTCGCGATGAGTAAGTTAGCCCCCACCCGCTTGTCGGGCCGCCACAACAAAACCCGACTAACACGTTTTGCCCAGCATCATGATGGGCACTTCACCCGCTCCTTTTGCCAACAATTCGCCTTCGTTCCACTCGTCGTCATATTTGCCTAAGATGGAAGCCGCCTTTATGAAGGATTTTACCTGCTGCGGCCTCACCCTCGCCTCGCTGCACGATCTGCTGCAGCACTTTGAGGAGACGCATGCAAACGCGCCTGCCGCCCGCCCCCAACACCCCCCCACAAATGGCTTTACCTCTGCATCAGGGGCGCCAACAAACTCAATCGCGCCCAGCCAGACGCAGGGCGATGCACCCTTCAACACCCAAAATGGCTTCCAACAAAGATCGGGCTCAGTTGGCGCGCACCGCCCACGGATAGGCTCCGTCAGCCGCTCCAACCTGTCCACTGTCCAGGACATGGATTCGCTAGACGACATGGATATGGATGACATCAATTTTGACACACTGGGCTCCATTGACGAGCAACAGCAGCAGCAGCAACAGCAGCAGCAGCAGCAGCAGCCGATGCAGCAATTCCCAGTACAAAATCAGTTCAACCAGAACCAGAACCAGCAGTCAAATCTCAACGTCAACGTCAACATGGCCAACAACATGCAAAACCACCAAGGCATGCGAACATCAACGCCAAACACACCCTCGGCCTCGCAGCAATTCAACCTCCAGAACAACCCCACCGTGTCTTCGGTCAACACACCAACAATGGGCACTATGCCCATGGCAAACCACAACCTGACCTCGCCAGAATCCTCACACCCCGGCACTCCAGCTGAGCTTGACATGGATTTTGGCGGCTTCAACCCAATGATGGGAATGGACATGGGAATGCCCATGGGCATGAACTTTAACGGCAACGGCAACGGCAACTTTGGCATGGCCGCTTTTGACAACAATGGCACAATTGACCAGCCAGGCAAGCGTCTGTTCAGCAAGCAGGGCGGTGGTCTCAACCAAGCACAGCTGCAAGCAGCCCTCAAGAACTACCAGCTCAGCGGAAACGACCAGAGCGAAATGGCCAGGCGGTTACGGGAACAGCAGCTTCTCAACGGTGCTAGCATTCCCCAATTCCCATTCCCCGAAGAGGTCAAGCCATTCCGATGCCCAGTTATTGGATGCGAAAAGGCGTACAAGAACCAAAACGGTCTCAAGTACCACAAGCAGCATGGCCACCAAAACCAGCAACTCAAGGAGAACGACGACGGCACGTTTTCCATTGTCGATCCCCTGACCTCGATCCCATACCCCGGCACAGTTGGCATGGAGAAGGAAAAGCCATATCGCTGTGAAGTCTGTGGCAAGCGGTACAAGAACCTCAACGGTCTCAAATACCACCGCTCCCACGCACCTCACTGCAACCCCGAGTTGGCCATGCAGAAGCTCGGTCTTACTGGAAACCTCCAGAATCTGCAGAATGCCAACGTTGCCGGTGCTGGAATGGGTGGCATAGATCCTTCCATGTTCTAAACCATGCCTGCACATGCCTTGAACTTTACCTCTACTTCTCTTAATACCCCACTTTCTATCATCCAAGACGAAAAGGTCACGACTGGTTTCATCTCTTCGTCATCTGCATCTCCTGGCGTTTCTCGGATTGGGAGAATCCTTTCATTCTCATCTCTGACCCAAGCCAGCCAGCCCTGGTGTTTGGATACGAAAAAAAAAATTGCCCGCCAGCCCGTCACATGTTTTGATTCATGTACATACATCTCTCGAGAGGTGCATCTTCCTCTACCAGCACGCTACGCTTGGTATCACGATTTGATGCTCATTACCAGAGGTGAATGAGTGGCCATGTCCTTTTATTTTGTTTTATGCGGAATATATCCCCTGGGTCATCATTGTCTTTTCTGTTTGTTTCCGACTCCTCTTTCTAGACTTTGGGTCTTTGTAACAACGGGCGTTTATATCGCAGTCACAAAAAGTTATCAAAACAGGTCTACGCTCATGCGCCGTGTTTTATTTGTTTCTTTCAGTATGATATAGTTATAGACTTGATGGATTTTCTTGTCAACCAGTCAATCAGTCAGTCAACAATGGGGATTTCAAGAGGGATCTCTCTAATACTACGCTCTACATACTCTTCTACCTCGATCTAATTCGTCTTACGCACATCCCGTCTCATCGCTTACCGGCATCGCCCTTCTGACCGCTGTTTCAACACCCAGACAACAAACCAAGTAAAGCAATGGAATGGAAAAAATCCATCCCACGTATCAACACGTTGCTGTTACAAGCTACAAGGCTCCTCCATGTTCACTCGAGGGACCACGACTCCTTTTCGTCCAGGGTGGCGTTACGGCCGTTAAGCCAAGAGTCGGCAATCGAAAAGCATCAAGAACAAAACGAGAGCTAGCACAGCTGCTCAGCTAGTCGACGACCACACGAAACACACGTGCGTCCTTACTGACTAACAGTATGCCCAACTAGGAGCAATGAAAGCCCACAAATGTATTCGTGCCCATAGCGCACCTGCGCCTTGCCCGCGCTCAGGGTCCTTTAAGCGGCACGTCCACGCACGCACGTACGCACGCACATGTATGCAATACCGCACGTGTGTCTATGACTCGCCTCACGTCTGGCCTGCCAAGACACGACTTCATGTTACCTCCCCACGCTACTGTTACTAGACTGCCCGTCGCAATAGCCGCCGACGGGCTGGACGGCCTGCATGACATGCATTTTGTGTGCCCCAACTGCCTGTTTGGGTATGACGGCTGTCACGTGTGAGTGTTTTGGTGGCTCTTGTGTTTGGGTGTGGTTTCCTTGGCCGTATTTGGCCGAGACTATGGCCGACGAGTCAAGTGCGTAGGGAACGGCTGGAGAAGGGTTAAGCACTGGGAACAGACGGCTGCAATCTCGTAGATGGGGGAGATTAGAAATAGGAAGATTTGGTGGCGAATGTGATTGTTTTTGCGGGCTAGGGAACGGTAAAAGGTACCGAGGCTGCGGATCAGGGTACACGGAATATGTACATGAGGGTTTCACCAAGTATTTGCAACGAAAAAGGGACGTGAGTAAAAGGCTCCACATGTAAGATGGATAAGATAATTATGGATACCTCTTTTTTCGGATTAAGAAACTTAATATTCTAACTCGTCCTTGAAACACGGGCCCTTTCCCCTACTACTTGTTCTTCTGCTTCTCAAAGTCTCACATGCATCAACGTAAACCCACAACAAACTGTGTAACACAAACACAAGAACACCCCCGAAAACCAACCCGATACTACCCATCCTGTTTTTTGTCCTCTCTCCCATCTTTCTGAACCCCTGGTTATACAAAGTCACACATATAATGTCATGCACGCAATTATCCCACTATGCATGGATCCCAACCCAGCCACGTGCGCCTGCAGCGCTACGTGCGGGAACGAAGAAAAAAAGAGGACATTTTCTTCATTCCTTTTGCGGCAGAGGATGACGCTTGTAAGGATAGGAAACTCATATTTTGTGCGCATGCGATTTGGAGCAAGAGAGGTGAATGAGCAGATGTAGGTGTTTGAATGTGATGGGTTTCTCCTCCCTACTTTCCTTTCTTCCGTTCCATACAAAACCCAAGCCTCCCCCCCCCCATCTATCCCTTCACCCCTGCATCACCCCGCCAAGTCATGTTTTAACCGTCATTTTCCTACCTCATTCTTGAAATCTTGTTCGCAAGTCCAAACCGTCCGGTCGCATAGTCCTGTTTTCTTGCTTTCTTGCTTGGGCATCCTTGCATACTCGCAGTCCTCACCCTAATCTACCTTCCCTACCTCATCATCTCAATATCATCTAGATATATTTTCCTGCATCCATCCCTTCTCTACCCAATCACCGCTACCTCACCCAGCCACGTAGCACTTCCAAAAGCCGGACACGCTTCATCCCGCTCCGCTTACATCCATCCTTTCCATCCCTGTTCCCCCCGCCCCCGCCCCCGCNCCGCCCCCGCCAGCCACCGCGCAACCCCCAAACGAGACATCCCTTTGGTACACACCCGTAATCGCCAACGGAACTCATCCAGATTTCGCAAGTCGAAATGCGCCCGCGCGCTTATGCAATGCACCGTCAGCCGTTTTCACTACGCCACCTGGAGAAGCGCGAGATAGGAAAGCGCAAAGGCTGAGATAAAAAAGTAATCGACCTCGGGTCTGACCCGGCCTAGTCCCTACCTAATGCCACAACCGTAGGTTTCCTTGGCTCTTGCGCTGATAAAACCTTTTGGCAACTTGGCCTTCCCCAACCTTGTGTTTTGTTTTTCGTTGCTCCAAAGATATATATGAGGTTGTCTTTCTAGGGGATTGCAGGTATAGTTGTTCATCTGACCCCAACACGCTCCCCGCTTTTTTTTCAAGTCGTATCTTCCAGCGCAAACAATGGCTACATACGGCACGTTTGGTGGGGACGCGGAACGGCATCCCGTGCCTAGGTCTGAGGCGCCATGGGACAAGCTAAAGGCTGAGTCGTATTCTCTATTCCTCAAGCTGAGCGAGTTGCCAAAGGGGACGTATGATGAGTTTGAAGCTTCGTGGGCGGATGAAAAAGAGAATGGTGCGTTCAAGGGTGGGTTGGGTGCGGTGATTGTGGTGAGGTACACTGAGACGCCCGTTGGTATGTTTTGATTCCTTCTTGCCATCACAAAACCCCATCATATTCGTATTCACAAGGAAGCCGAACCTACAAAGATATATGTACACACACAACCCAACTCAACTCATTCTAACCCCCCTTCGAGGCCCATACGACGAAATCATCTTCGTCCCCGGCAACTTCACCACGCCCCTCCTCCCCCCGACCCCTTCCTCCATCCCCGCCAAAGCCCTGCGCATATCCCGCATCTACGTCTCCCAACGCACCACAACCTACAACGGGCGCCTCAACTGGAACATCCCCAAGCACCTCGCCCGCTTCACCTTCTCCTCGCCCCCGACCGCCGCCGGCGCCTCACCCCCCGCCTCGCTCACGGTAAAAGTGTACCCCCCATCCTCCCAGGCCGGCGACTCCACCCCTCCCTTCTTCGCCTGCACCCTCACCCCCTGGACTTGGATCCCCGCCCTACCCGTCAACACGGCCTACATCCCCCTCAACCTCACCGTCGTCCAACCCCCCATCCCCGAACCACCGGGCCACAAGGAGGCCCTGAAGAAAGCTCTCGACGCCGAGCACGTCCATCCGTATGATACCGATCCCCAGAAAGCACTCGCCGTCCTGCCCGGCACCGACAGGTGGACGGCGTTTGACATTAGCGCGAGGAGTCCAAGGGCGAGGGGGTGCTGGGTCAGGCTGAATGAATCAGAGCAGCATGCCGAGGCAGAGGGTAAGGTGTTTTTTCCAGACCGGTTGCCTGTTTGGAGCGTGGGTGCGTGGATGGAGGATGTTGAGTGGGGGATTGGTGCGGTTACCGAGTGGGGGGATGGGTTGACAAGAGGTGGAAATTGAGAGTGTGTGTGTGTGTGTGTGTGTGTGTGTGTGTGTGTGTGTGTGTGTGTGTGTGTGTGTCTGTGTGTTTAAAGGCATTTGGTCAAGGTTGATATGATGTATGGATATCTTTTCGGGTGTTTGGATTGTTTCCTCTTTTCTTTTCTTTTTCCCTTAAAAAAAAATCAAACTTGGAATAATGAAATGTTCGCTGTGTTACCATTGTTCTTTTGGTATCCAGCTATTTCACTCTCTTTTTTTTTCTTTTCTTCTCGCTGGGTTTTGGTAACTGGTTTTTGTGTACGCACTGTAAAGACGGGGGGTCTTTTTTTTTTCTCCAAATTGGAATATGATAGATTTGACTGTTTAGGCATATCAAGTACTTAATCGGGGTTGTTGATAGGGTGCGAGATACAAGTGGTATTACCTAGTCCCGTGTTTTCTACTTATCAAAGCAGGATGATTTTTTTTTTGACTATTTGAAGTTTTGTTTGGTATGGTGGTATTTGATTGAGGTGAGATGGAGTTTTGTGTGCTACCTCATGGATTAGGGGTTTGCAATGCTACGTGTGGGAACCATTGTGATGCTACTCATGGCTCGAGTGCTAAGAACTTGATGGTTGTTAAGCACAGGATGTGAGGATGGGGTATGAATGTATACTTGGAATTTGAAGAGGAATATGGATGCAGGTTTTGGGGAGAGTAGTTAGGCGTGATGCATGCCATGTATGTCATTGTGTTTTGCTTAGTTAGTTGGCTACTATCCATAGCTCATGAAAATGCTATCTGGACTATAGAACTAGGAGGTGGCTCTTCTACAGCTCGCGACGCGTCTTGTCTAGTATAAAGAATACTAAACTACTCTGCTACTATTAGGTCGGCACAGCGCGATTGTAGATCTAGTTCATATTCCAGACCAATCGGATTTTGCTCTACCGATAACATTTTCTCGTAAAGCTAATATGACTACTCATATCCCTGACCAATCTATAACGTAACCCTTCTGTAAGCGTCATGTGATATAACTGCATAGAAACCGACAAAGAATATGCAAAGGGGCAAGTTACGGCGCGTGGGTCTATGGGGAGTAGTTGGGAGTCATATTTACGGCCACTCATGCGCATTCATTGCCCCATTTGCATATACAGGGATTATTTACGGTTTCGTAAGAGTAATTGAGATCCACATACTTATGCTCGTATGGGAATGCTTATCGAAGTGCAGAAAGAAATTACCGTCGGAATCCAATGCCTACAAGTGGGATTGATTAAGGCGCCTGATAACCTGTACAGTGCATCGACTGACGTACCAAGTTTGCTATCCATTCTATGCTGACCGGTGGATTTGAGCTATTGCTGGCAAGACCGGAATATGTCTGGGAGAGAACAATGGCCAGGTTGTTAGTAGCCCAATGGTAAGCCAAGAAACCCATCCACGGCGAGTACTCCGATGCCGATGCTCTGAACTCCGCATCTCACTCCGAAAATATTATTTCCGGAATACGTCAAGTCAGTCCAACTCACCGCCAATATCCAGTCGAGTCTTGGTCTTCGGCATCTGCGGCGAATCATGGCCCGGTTGGTAAGAACATGCGGAAAACCCTTCGTCGGTAGCGGGCGATACCGCATCTAGAGAAATAGACGAAGCCGCCAAGTGGATCGTTTGGTCATAGCCGTCATCCACTCCACCCTTCCCTGTCCTACTTATACCTCTGGGTCTTCTCCTCTGTTCTACACAAAAAACCTGGAGAACAATAATTACGACTCGACCAACGGCCCGTTTTACCGACTGGGAGGTACTTACGGGTAGAAGTAGACGCACCTCGGGGACTGTGCAGGAGCTCTTTCAAACCTTATTCAAGCGCACGTGCATTGGGCACATTCTCATCACACGCCATCCATCCCTGTTCCAATATCACCTGAGCATCGCGTATGAGCAGCGAACCCAAAGGCAGCACGCCAGGATCAATCAGCCCGCTCAATCCTCTTGCTCGAGTCAATACCTATCCTCAAGCAGAGTTCACTATTCCGCCGTTGGATACGCTATCACCATGCCCAAGTGCCCCAACTCAAACCGCCAATGCCCTGGCATCAGCCAGCTGCAAGGAGAGTCACCTAAACAGCACTGCAACTGGATATGAGAAGTCTCGCCAGCCTCATGATGACGACACTCGATCCATGACCTCGACTGCTCATGCCGAGGTGACCTATCCAGAAGGCGGCTTAGGCGCCTGGTCTGTTGTTCTCGGATCCTTTCTAGGCCTCATTGCCTCGTTGGGTATGATGAACACGGTCGGCATCTACCATGCCTACATTGCCAAGCACTACCTGCAAGACTACAGCGAGTCGACCATCTCGTGGATCTTTAGCGTATACGTGTTTCTGTCCTTCTTCTGTGGACTTCAAATCGGCCCCATCTTTGACGCCCATGGTCCGCGGCTCCTGGTGCTGGCTGGTAGCATCTTGCTGTGTCTGTCAAACTTTCTCCTTGGCATATGCACCCTGTACTGGCAGTTTTTCCTCGTCTTCGGGGTACTTGGGGGTCTGGGCACGTCGCTGATCTTTACTCCTGCTTTTGCAGCAATCAGCCATTTCTTTCACCAGAAGCGAGGCAATGCAACAGGTATCGCTGCAGCCGGAGGGTCGCTGGGTGGCGTCATCTTTCCACTGGCCCTGGAGAGGCTGTTACCTACAATGGGGTTCCCATGGGCCACCCGCATCGTTGCCTTCATCATGCTCTTCTGCTGTATTGGTGCCTGCATCCTCATCCGCTCTCGACTGCCACCAAAGCCTGGTCAGTCGGTGTGGCCCGATTTTAGAATCTTCAGCCACAAGAGCTACCTTCTTCTCACCGTAGGCATCTTCATGATGGAATGGGCGCTCTTCATTCCAATCACTTACCTCACCACCTTTGCGGTGAGTACTGGTGCGTTCAGTCCGTCCTTTTCATACCAGCTGGCCGCCATTTTTAACGCAGGAAGCTGCATCGGTCGCTGGCTTCCGGGCCTGCTGGCCGACAAGTTGGGTCGGTTCAACAGCATGATTGCCGCATTGGCAACTTGCTCTGCCACATCGTTGGTATTCTGGCTCCCAGCATCGCTCCTCACGCCCACAACTGAATCGGCATCCACGGCCATCAAAGGTTTGTCAATTGTCTATGCTGTCTTATTCGGATTCGCTTCTGGCTCCAACATCTCCCTTACACCAGTATGCGTGGGCCAGCTCTGTGATACGAATGTCTACGGACGGTATTACGCTACTTGCTATACCGTCGTGAGCTTCAGTACCCTTACTGGCATACCCATTGCAGGAGCAATCATTCAGACTACTGGCGGACACTACTGGGGCGTAGTGATCTGGACTGCGGTTTGTTACATTATCGCTTCACTCTGCTTGGTGTGGAGTCGAACTTTGCAGGTCGGCTGGAAGCTGGGAGTGAAATTCTGAGAGATTACGCATTCCTAGTGCACTTACTAGAAGGAACGCTGGGTGTGTAGCGATTCTAGCAAGTGACCTACTAAACTACGCGCTATCGCGTACATGATACATGGTGTTGTGGAGGACTAAATTGTTATCGAATAAGAGGAGTTGGAGAGACGGAGAGGAGGGCGAATACAAATTGAAATAGGTGGCCTGGTTTCTCGGTAGGCGAAGTTTATCGCGTTACTATTACACTCGTTTTTTGCTCAATATCGTTAGATACGGCACGTTCCTTCAGGACTGCCCCAATTCATGAAACAAAAAAGTACGGTCATTTCTCGCCGCTCTATCTCGATCACTCATCTTTTTTGCGCAATCCTTTTTTTGTGAGGCTGATTTAGGTTCTATATTTATCCAGACTACTATATCTTGGCCGATTTCATCATTCGCCCCCTCCACCCGGAAGAGGGAAACACGTTGCCGTCATACCGGTGCATCGTTCAGTGAACGACAAGTTCTACAAAACTTGTTGAGATCTATCGACCACAGAGATATGTGGAGAATTTTGGTAGTTGCCTGGTAACTGCTTCCCGTGTTGAGGTTCATAGTTGAAACCTTGGAATGAATATCACGGAAGAAGATCAGGCCGAACGATGCACATACCGAGCAAAGACCAAGCAACGAGCTTTCTCCCCCCCCCCGCGATTTTCGCCCCCTCCCCCACCGACTGTCGACCCGATCTCAAAAGAAGTATGTTAGAAAGAAAAAGCAAAGAACAATGTCGCACACACTCCAAAACGAAGAAGAGCGCTCGAACCTCGCTGCTCCTTACCAACTCCCGTGCTCCACGTTTCTTTTCTTTTTACCATCAGATCTGCCGTCTGCCGTCCGCAAAATAACATTTGTTTTTTTCCCATGCGCGTCTCATCTAGGAAGAAAGAGGGGACACGCCCCTTCCCCCAACGAAAGACGCAATGATGGTTGTTTTATGGAAATATTGGCTTTGGGTAGCTCGTGGCGCCATCAAGCTTGGCACGCCGTACTACGGCGTTAAGGTCAAGCCCCTGACTAGATTGTGGCTGACTGACCCATCCTTCTCTCTTTTCTCTCTGTCTGGCCTCGTCCAGCCCTTTCTTCCCTGTGCCCTGTCTGCTCTATCCGCCCGCCCGCCCCCTGACTAAGTTCTATATCAAACACTACATAGTGTACAACAAACACGTGGGTCACGGGTGATGATGATCAATGATCGCCTTTATTTCCTTCAAGTAGTCATTAGCCTTCTCAGTTTCGGGAGATCGCCACGTCGAGTTTCCCGAATCGCAGCATGGGCAAAAAAAAGTCGTGGAAAATGGAATTCTGCGCAATTGCTTTGAAGATGGTCGGGAAGAAGTGTGTGGGATGGATGCAGTGTACATAGAGTGTTGTGTTCAGGCCTGACGATCGCTGGAGGAGGGAGGGTGGGGGTGGCACATTCTCAACCGCGTTTTTTTCTCGTTTGCTTTTTTTTTGTCCCGATTTCTTTATTTGTTTCTTTCTTGTTAGGATTGCGGGTTCGCAGGTGCACATGGACATGGAGTTTCGGCAAGAGCCAGGAGATGGTTTGGAGAAGGACGAGGGGAATGTGTTGATGAACCACGTAAACGCTTCAACGCGAGATGCAAGGAGCGCCCGCTGTGCCGCCATACATTGTACACCACGTCTTCTTCTTTTTTTGCGTGCGGGGCTCACTCGTCAGCCATGCTGTATACAAGCGCGTAATGAAGTTGCTTCTGGGGCGGATTGGCGAAAAAGTGACGCAGGGGGTACTTTGTGGCTAGAGTTGTCGACGTCCCATTCGCGATGGGCACGAGTCGTGCGCTATCGAACAGCGCTGGCAGCGACGCCGCTTTCGGCCAGCGACTAGAGCGCAATTAGCTTGAGGCACAAAAAATGAGTTGGGATTGGTAAGTTGGTCGCACCGCTTAATGGTGGGAAGCCTGGTCGGGGCACGAGAATGCTCTTGATTCGTGTGTAGCGCCACTCAGTCTGCTGTCCCGATCGGGCGGCCGAGAGGAGACGCCGGTGAAACGTATGTACATGTCAATCTCCCGTCAACTGAGGGTGACTTTTGCTGCGGCTGATGCGAAGTTCCCTTTCTCTGCTTCTGCACCCCGCTTCTTCCGCTTCCTAGACTATATTGTATGCCCATTCCCCTTCCAACCCCTACCGGCTCTTCCTCCCACTGGTCCATTCCTTAGAACCCTTATGTCTACTCGGAAACATGTCGACTAATTCACGCAGTACCGGTGTCTACTCGGGCGAGTCGAGTGACTCGGAACCTTCAATGTTGCGTCAAATCGACATGGACATTGAGAAGAGCAGCAAGAGCCCGTCTACGCTGAGACGCAAGGGCTCGGCGTTGCAAACATCAGTTGAGGTTTTGAGATGTAGATTTGGAAAGTCTGCAGAGGCACCGGAGAAGCTGGGGGATTTCAGACCATCCAAGGAGTGGACGCCCATTTTCTACTCAGTCTATCATCAGCGCGAGGCTGCCCTCTCGCACTTTCTTCGAGCTGGCGCATCGCCGGACGACGTCACTGACATTGGACAACCACCCCTGTGCATTGCTGTTGCAAATGGATATGTTGAGATTGCAAAGATTCTCCTCGGTGCTGGTGCGGACATCAATGCTACGACCAGAGAGGGAGGGGAGACTGCACTGCACATTGCGGTCAAGAATGGCCGCGTCGATCTCATGGACCTGCTTCTATCATATGGACCCAACCTGGAACTCAAGACGCACACGACAGGCGAAACACCTCTCCACTACGCAGCAGCAAAGTCGGGATCATTGGCAGTGGTTATGAGCTTACTCCAGCACGGCGCCAGCTACAACACACTGAACGTCAATGGCCAAACTCCAGCTGAAGCAGCTTTGAAAACCAACAATATCAACGGAGCCGTCGCCATTATCAACGCAGCAAACACCAAACGCAACGAGCTGGCAAAAGAGAAGGAAATGCTGCTGAAGCATGTACAAAAGACACAGGGTCGCTTCTCTATCGGCAACGATCTCATTGCCGACATCTTCGCTGCAGCCTGCGACCCCGAATCAAACGTCCTTGTGGAGGCTATCAAGAGAAACGACGTGCTGTTGGTAGAGATGTTCTTGGAAAAGGGCTCCGATCCAGACCGCAAGACTGTCCGAGGACTACAACCGATCTTCGTTGCTTTGTCATGTGCAGGAGCACCAGTCGTCAAGGCAATTCTCAAGCGCAACCCCGATCTTTCGGTCCGTGACGAAAAGGGACTGAGTGTGCTCCAGGCTGCCTTCGAATGTCCATTGACGAAAGAGAAGGACACCATTCAAGCCATTACAGAGGCTTTGATCGAGGAGGGCGCCGATGCCAAGGTCACCTACCCAGATGGAAAGACGTTACTTCATCGCGCCGTGTCGCCGTCCTTCAGCCACATAAAGATCGCGCAGATGCTCATCGATGCAGGTGTTGAGGTCAATGCACAGGATAGCGAGGGCAACACTGCGCTTCATGTTGCGACGCACAGCAAGATGTGCATTGACATGCTGCTAAAGAACAAGGCCAACTCCCAACAATTCAACGCCAAAGGACTGACGCCATTGTTGTTTGCTACAACAAAGTGCAAGAAAGAGGACGAGCCCGTGCTTGATTCTCTCGTCAAGGTGTCCAACTTCCACAAGACGAACGCGCAAGGACAAACGCCTTTGCATCTCGCAGCTGCGAACGGTCTGGACAAGACTGTGCGCTTGCTGCTGAGAGCACGCGCGGATCCTACGGCCGTTGACAATAACAAGAACACGCCGCTGCTTCTCGCCGTCAAGAACCATCAATGGTCCATTGCACCGATATTCGTTACAACACCGAGTGTCAACGCATGGGACAAGAATGGCTTCAGTGCGCTGCATCATGTAGTCGCCAACTGCCCCAGGGCCCCAGCAACTTGGGAAAACATTGCCACTGCTACTGTAGCCTTCTGCGAACGCGGCGTGAGCAGAAGCATACGTGATCGATCTGGCGCCACGCCGCTCATACTGGCCGTCAAGACGCTTCCGGAGGAGGGTCTCCCCGTCATCGAAGCACTGTTGGCGCAAAAGGCGGGCGCAAAAGCGAGCTGGAACTTTGCCGACCACGAAGACCACAAGAAACGCGATGCGCTGTACTACGCCGCGACCATGGGCAAGCCGATATTCGTCGACGCGCTGCTCAGGAACGGTGCTACGTTTGAATTTGAAGACTGGACGCCAAACAAGCACATGCTGCAGTCATCGGAAGAAGTCAACAAGAAAATCTACAAGTCGTTTGCGCAGCAGGAATGGATCCGTCGTACGGTCGTCTTGCGGGAGCAGCCCAAGAGTGCAGAGGACCAGGTGTCGCCGTTCATGACGGTGATGCCAATCTGCGATCTCGAGATGATGATTTCCATGGGTCTCGATGTCAACAACTTGCCCAACTCGCCGCTAGGAAAATCACTGCTATGGGCTGTTCTAAGGCACATTTCGCTCCAGCCCCCACTGGCACCAGAGTATCTTCTCCAGGTTCTCAGTGTGGTGCTGGATGCTGGTGCGGATCCCAATGCGAGCAGCAATAGGCATGCAAAGCGCACGTCCTGGCCTTGTCCTCAGCAGGGATTTACGGAGCCGCCCCGTTTGACGACTCATCCTCTTACATTTGTCCTGGAGGAATGCCCGGGTATCGATATCGAGGTCGTGAGATTGCTTCTCGCTCGAGATGCGAAGCCAGGTCTTTCTTCGGGTTTCTACAAGGGCCGCTTCCCGCTGCATTGTGCTGTCAAGGCGCGTCGTGCTGATGTTGTGGAGGAGCTGTTGCTGGAGCAGGGCAATGTGGAATGTGTTGATGACACTGGACGAACGCCTATGTTCTTTGCTGCTGAAGCTGGGGATCTGGAGATTGTGACTACCTTGCTCACTCGAGGTGCCAAGTTGGATGTGGTTGACTTAGAAAAGAACACGCTCTTGCATGCGGCTGCAGTGGGTGGCAGTGACAAGGTTATTGCGTCTCTGCTACGCGCTGGTGCGAAGCTGGGCAAAAACGCAAAGGGTCTTACGCCTATGGCTTGTGTGCCTGAAGGTCTTGACGAGAAAGAGAAGGGCAGGATTCAAGACATGCTCAAGGGTGCTGAAAGGAGAGGACTGATAGTCACAGAGGTGACAGTGAAACCAGCTGAAGTGAAGCCATCTGAAGTGAAAACAGAGAAGCCTAAACCTGATGCAAGGCAAGAGGAAGAAAAAGCAGCTCGCGAAGCCAAAGCAAAGCAGATCTCGGAACAGCAACTCAGGCAGCGCCTCCAAAAACAACAGCAGGAAGACCAAGAAAAACCGTCGAAACCCACCAAAGAAACTCCAGTCGCCATCAAACCCGCCGCCGCCGCTATTAAACCCCACCCCCAAATCCAAGTCCACGCCGTGCCCCCTCAAGAAAAACCCCAACCTATCGTAACCGCCGAGCCCATCCCATCCCCTCCCCTACGCAAACCCCGATCAACCTCCATATTCCGCAAGTCCTCCCTCTTCTTCACCCGCCACAAATCCGCAATCTTCTCCTCCCCATCCGACTCCTCCTCATCCGACGCTTCGCCTCCTAGACAAAAGCACAGCACTCTCCTGAGCCTCCGCATCAGCGCCCCCTTCAAACAGCGTAACTCGACTGGCGCTATGAGCACAATACCGCAATCACCAAGTACCCCGAACATCCTCAAGAGTCCCGATTTCTTCACCAAGGACTTTGGCAGCTTGTCTGCTTCCGCATCCGCTGCTGCCGCTGCCGCCGCTGCCGCCGCAGCCAATTCTCCTACCGCCAGTCAAGCACGGTCGCCATCGCCATCGCAGCCACAGCGCCCCAATGTCCCTGTTTCTTCGGCGGCAATTCAAACGCGTCTCCTCGCCCCGCGCGCCGATAGCGGCCTCGGACAACGCAAGTCTACGGGCAAAGACTCGATTCTCGACCTCGACCTTGTGAATGAGAAGTTGAAGAGGGAGAGTAGGGTCGAGGATACCGATGACAAGGCGGATGCGAGTGAGTTTAGTGATTGGTTGAAGATTTGTGATATGATTGACACGAAGGATATGTTTGAGAATTTGTAGCCGTGTAACCACGCTTTCTTGCGGGTGCGTTTGGCATGCGAATGGGAAGGGGATGTGGTGGGGGATTGTTGATGTAGTAGTGGAGTACATAACGCTCGCTCTCTTTTTTTTTCCCTTTTTTCGTTTGTCTGTTAGCATGAATTTTTTTGGTTGGGCGTTGCGCATTTAGCTGGGCCTAATGGTGTTTTCGCTCTTTTTCTTTTCTTTTCTTTTATGTGGTTGGATATGAGATTCGGATGTATATATTGATACCCACGCTACATGTGGATTGGAATCCCAGATGATGAAAGAAGAGGGGATTGTAGTATGTAGCCTTTTCTTCCTTGTTTCCTTGTTTCATTTCTTCCTTTGAAATTTTAGATGATGCTGCATGTAGGGGTCGAATTTCATATGTGTAATAAGGTCACCTACTGCGAAGTGAGACATACAAGGTAGTGAGACTAGGTTTTACTAAAATCTCAAATTCAGTTCTTCTACGGAAACTCCAAGCGCTACAACTTGTAAGATAATCCAGTGGTGTTTACTCGTCAAAGCATTTTGTTTCCAGTGGAGATAATCTGATTATTACTAATCCTGCCAATCATTCTCTTAACATCGTTTTAACACCGCCTACCCTCCAAGCGCTGTTGCAGTATTTCTACGACCTACTCACACCACTTTGGCGTGTTAATTGCGAAGTCAAAGGCAAAGAGAAAAAGCGCTTTTCGGGTCTCATCACAATCAGCAGCACAGCATACCCTATCTAACAATTTCTCTAACTTTTGAAGTGCAGCTATGTCGGATCTGAAGACCCTTTCTTGGCAGGTTGATTGAACAGAGGACTGACTAGGAACACAGTGCATTCACCCAATATCGATACTGACAAGACAGGCATTTTTGATAATTGTTCTTTCAACATCTCTTATGGTGTTCCATTCGTGACCAACTAACATCTTAGAGCAACTAGCAGCTGTTTGATCCTCATGTGGCTCAATAACGTTGGCTGACACTGAAATATCATGTCAATACTGACTTCCAGTTGTAGAAAAGGGTATATATTTCTTGGGATCCACTCAATTAAGCTGGCGGCGCCGTTCTGTTACTACGAACGGGGAGAATTCAAAATCAACAGGTCGCTCAAGTCTACCGAGGAATCTAACACAGGAGACTTGAAATCACCAATCAGAGGCACGTTGTAGGTGTGAGAAAGCCTTTGGTAAAAGAATTACTCGCCCAAGTCGATAAGGCTTCGCTTGATCGAGGTAGTCACTTCACTGATCAGGTGTTCATAACCACCCTTACACATGAAAGAAATTGCGGAGGTCAAGACAGGCCGAGAAGTACAGTGACGTTAGTGAAGTGTAATGGGATTGTTATGTTAGAGAATATGAACCTGATCTAACACGAGTCGTTTTAAGAAATTCGCTGTACCAACACCGCTGCGTGTTTTCTTACCTATCAACAACAACCTACTTCGCAAGAAGGTACATACATATTCCAGATATACCAAAATCCAACTCCACATCTACACACTTCCTCTACACCTTCTCCTCCCCCTTCCTCGCCCTCTCCTCCTCCCCCAACCAATCCCACACCCCCTCCAACGCCGTAAACTCCACAAACCCACCTTCCCTCCACGCATCCCCATGCACCTTCTTCCCTACCTGCTCCTCCACCCCCCTCATCACACCCCTCCCCCACCGACAAAACACCCACCCCTTCGTCACAACCCTCTCCCTATACCCCTCCTCCCCAAACTCTTCCTCTTCAAACACCACATCCCCCTCCGTACTAGTGCCATCTTCCCAGCCACCCTTCCGAAACGCGACAACGCCGCGAAACACGATAATCTGCGTCAGCGCCTGGTCTCCTTTGCTGCGGCGCAGCTCGGCTTTGGAGAGTGTGGCGCGCTGGGCTTGTTCGGCGGAGGTGAGCACAGAAGATGGGTTGTGCGGGCATGATTGCTGCATTTGGGTGGCGTTTGTGCAGTGCATGTGGGAAGGGGTGTAGCTGTCTTCTTTGAAGGAGGGAGTGAAGCGGTAGAGTGTGTGTGGGGAGAGGTGCATGTTTAGGGAGAGGAGGGCGGCGCGGGTTGTGAGGGTTAGTAAGGGGGGGAGAAGGGAGGGGAGGGTAGAGAGCGGGGAGGGGTGCAGAAGGGAGAGGAGGGGTGTGAGGTGTGTGGTTAGTGCTGCTAGGATGGTTTGGATGTGTGCGGTGAAGGAGGTAGGGGGGAGGGTGGTGGCGTTGTGGGTGAGGCAGTGGAGCGTCTGGGAGAATTTGGAGTGTCGGGTAAATCCTATTTGTGGAGAGATCAGCGGCCGTGAATAGACTACAGTAGTGTTGTTGAAGTAGTAAAATGGAACAAAAGGGAGAGAAAATACTTACCATCCTCGTCTTTTAATTCTCGCTCGAGAGCAAAAAAAGCATCTTTGTCTTCTTTGCCGAGCCCAAAACACACATTCTCAAATACCTGCTCTACAAAAACGTTTCCGATGACTCCGCATACGAGTGCCAGTCTCTTCTCCTCGTTCAGAAACAAATCGTGCCACCCCCACTGGCCTGCCGGTCCGCCACTCGCAACGCAGTGTACCACCTTGACCGTCTGCGGCGTCATTTGCGCGTAGAATGACGCTGGGAGGATGCCGTCGGGCGCGGGGATCTGGACCTCGCCGCTAAAGAACTCACGACTGAAGGCCTGGATCAATGATACAAGATGCGTGAGTGCATCTCGGATTTCAGCGTCGCGCATGGCGTATTCGGGCTCGTGGAGGTCGGCGCAGATAGCAGATCTAGAGCCCAGTTCGCGGGCACGGAGATTAGGATCTGTGCTCCATTTTTGACTCGATGACATACAGGACCAGCCTGGTGGCGTTGTTGACGCGGGTGTCATGTTGGTTTTGGACCGGCGTGTCTGCGGTGTTGGTTGAGTGGTGGGAGGGAGAGGAAGAGGAGACGAGGCATTTTGTTCTGGAACAATGGTGTTTGTAGCATCATTCACTGCTTGAGATTTCTCCGCGGAATGGCCAGAGAGAGATGCTTGCTGTTCACGAGCAGCACATTCTTTTTCTTTCTGTAACTTCTCGGCTTGCTCCATCATCAGTCTCGCCTTGGTTCTCAGCTCTGCTGCTCTGAGTTGAGACTCGGGAGTTCCTGGTTCTAGATGCGAAGAACCAAGTTTTCGAGCTAGTGAATTGCCAGTTCCAAAAGATGGACGAATGCTCGCGACCGTCTCTGTTATCGTCATAGTGCTGGATCCACCGTATTTTGCACTTGAAGTAGTACTGCTGCTATGCGAGCCGGATCCCCGATCATCATCACTTAGGATGTCGCGCATGCCCTTGTGCTTTTGCATTGTGTTTTGTGACTGTTGGGCTGGCGAGCTAAATGGCCAGATGTTGTTGAGGAAACTGGTCATTGGGTTGAAGGCCGCGGGAGAGTAGAAGTGATTTGCGATATATGACAGTTGAGCAGGAGATGCGCACGATTCTTTTGGCAAAATGTCTACGCTTTATTTTGTTGCTCTAGTGTATTTGCCGTGTGACTGCTTTATCTGTCGATGTTTGGCCGGATGCGGCAGACCATTGAAATCTGCGCCGGAATGGGCATTGTGCTTGTCTTGTGGAAAACAACAAAGGAATTCAAGATGCCGCCCTTGTCCAAGTGCTATTCGTACAAAAGGAATTCAACTACCGAGATGTCTTTTTTTCTGGGAATAGGGAATACAATATGTAGGAGACGCCTGCTCTACCTCGTGAAGACAAAAATGATGACCAAATGGTACAGTAAAAACACGCGTTCTATACCTGGTGAACCTGACATTCGAACGCCGCCATTGCCCCTTAGTAGAAGGAAAGTGCTTGCTACGCTATGCTATGTCAATAGTATATACATTACACAAAGGAAACGCTAGATGATGATAATGAACAAAGAAGTTGCAATTGCTTTTTGGCTACTTTTGTGGCGTCCAGTTCTTGTAGAGACATGAGCATAGTGTACCCGCATCCTGGGCCTTGAGGCCAACACTGTCACCTGATGAATCCTTGCAGGATGGCACACCTTCACCGCCAGCCACAGCTTGCTCGATGCGTACGGCTGAACACGAGGTTAGTATGCGGAGATGGAAGTTAGACAGTAGATCACACTTACCAAATGGCCATTGGACGTTGGGGGTGTTTTGGACAGCTATTGTGTCATCAGGATATGTACGGAGCATCTTGGTGTATAGGAACGCCTGTATGTTTGTTGCGCTGTAATCACACTCGAAATCGCCCTTGCTGTCCCCAAGGGTACCGGTCATGTTTACAGATTTGGAGCGAGAAATCTGGAACCGGTAGCGTTCCGTCTCTTGTCCTACATCCAACAGCTCAAGGTTCTCGTTCTGGAAAGTCGTATCAAATGTATCATCATGCCCTTGGGATGAGATTTTGTATGAGTCAGAAGACCCGGCGATTTCCCAGTTGAGAACGGTAAGAGCTTTCTGGGGATCCGCGTAGTAGTCTGTGTTTGGGGCGCAGGTCCAGGTGTTTTGGTTAGCGGTGCACTCTGGCGTGACGGTATCGAGGAAGACCACAAGCGAGTAAGCGCCGACGGGGAAGTTGGGAGGAACAGAGGGCTGTGGGGCTGCTGGAGATGGGGCGGGAGGTTTGTCGGTTCCGGTGGGGGAATCCGCGCCATTGTTTTGGTTGTGATTGTTGGTGCCGGATGGGCTGCCTGCCGCTTGAGAACCGTTTGCTGCATCTTGCGATGAGCTACTGTTTGGTGCGTTAGTACGTGTTGCTTTTTAATGGCGAAATGCGGGTGGCTCACCCAGAATGCTTCTTCAAGCCCACTGATAAGCCAACGGCCAAAGCCACGATCAGCACTATCAAGACAGCAACAACCAAAGCAAGCCTCTTGCGTCCCCAGGCAAAAATGCCCCTCCGTCTTTGTCGTACGTGACCAAACTTCTCATCCTCCCTGTCGCTCCAAACACTAACACTGAGATTGCTCCCATTGTTGGCTCGGTCCTCGTTGGGCGTGTTTAACCTGCCGCCAGTTAAGGCGGAAAAGACACCTCCCTTCTTCCTCTCATTCTTATGAACATGCAGCACGGGCCCTACGTGCTGATGTGATGGGTCGTTGCAAAATGTGCTCTCGGTGGTGACGTTGATCTTGGCTGTGTTGGCCGGTGACTTTGTAAGCTTGTTGTCGAGGATGACAGAGAGTCGCTGGCCAGCAGGTGTTGAGATGCGCTTTGCAGGCCGGCCATCGTCAATGGGGAAATGCGAGTTTGCGCGACTGGAGCGGAAGAAATTCATCGCATCGGAATGGTGGATATGTGTGTACGAAGGTAATGGCGAGTTATCCGAAGGCCGGGCTTTTGGTCGAGATGAGATTAACGAGCGGACCGGCTGGTTGGAGCGATGGCTGCCCCTTGGACTTCCTTGCCACTATGTATCTCACTATACACCGGGGGCATAGATGTGCGGATGAAGAGAGGTGGGTAGGTACTTAGAGGTGAGCCAGGAGATGCTTGGGCATGGACGAAGGGCGTTGTCTCGGCTAGAAGGGTGGATTCCGTCGAAAGCTTAACCGGGCTAACAATAGTGGACTTGACCGCGAAAGGACTCGAAACAGATGAGCCCTGCACTCCATCACGCACTAAGGACCGTTGGAGTATCGACGGCGGCCATGTGTGGTTAGAGCCTCAGGTCATGGCGTGTTTAATGACGGGGGATGGACTCTAGTGGAACCGCACGGGTCTGCCTCGGGAACGGGTGGTTGCGCATCACTGGTAAGTCCAAGTATATTGAGGGTTAGTGACAGCGGCCGGCCTGAACGTGAGGACCAACAGCCACCCAGCCTTCCGCGGCGCAGACGTGCAGCCGTCTCAGCAGACGACGCAGCTGCTCGTGGACACCACATGCTGCATGTGCTTGGCCGGCGGCTAGCATGTTTGTTGTGTTGTCGTGGTTCGGCGGGGATTGAGCCAAAAAGGGGGCCGGAGCAGAGAGAAAGTCAGGCAGTGGAGTAGTAGCACGACTCGCTAAATCTCGCGTTCCTGCATGTGAGCAAGGAACGCCTGCCGGTGGGGCTGCCAAGACATGCAACTCTGACCTCGACCTTGTCCTCCTTCACCCTCACCACCACCACGCGTCTTGTGCGTGTTGCGACTGCAATGTGCCACTGCCAGCGATATGTAGTACACGCTTTGAAGCCGCCTTCCATCACTGTTCACTCTCACTGCATCCTGTGCCTCTACGCCCTTCTGCTGACTGTCGTGGGCGCACCTGCCAGCTGCCCAGCACCTCCCTGCCTTTACTTCCACCCTGTTGACCTCACCCAAACCTTTCCCACCCCCGTCGTTTCTCAACTTACAGCCAGAAGCCAGCACCCCAAAGCTACTGTGAAACCTGCCCGTGGCAGCCCACGCATTCACCTCAACTCGAGACTGCCACAATCATGACTCCTGGTCGCATACTCGTACGATTGAAGCCTGGTTGTTCTGACGGCGATCCCCTGCACGTCCCAGCCTCAGGCACGCACACCCAAATTGATCCTCCCACGTTATACCTTGAGAAGATCGGTCAATTATGGATGGAGCAGCGCGGAAGTGCCCAGTCGGGTGTGCATTACATTCTCGAAGCTCTCCCCGCAGGCTACACCATGTGGCAGAGGCCACGGCCTTCAGATCCCAAATGTTTCGACAAGTATCTGTTTGGCCACCCCAGCCATAAGAAATTCGATTCTCCTAATAGATTTTTTCCCCACTTCGAATATCTCATGCAGAATGGCGGCAACAGCATAGGGTGTCCCTGCACTGTCTGTCGCGGCGGCTCAGGCCTTCCCCGCGCTATGTCCAACAGCTCTCGCCCCAGAAGTTCTGCTAGCTCATCCAATGTTTCAGTTTCTGCATCTCTCCAGAGCCGACCCAACAGCGCCCACCGCGTCCAACCAACTCCGCCCATGGTCATAATCTCTCACCCCACAGCTCCAGGAAGGCCCAAGAAGCTGAGCCCGGGTCACGATCTGACCAGGACCGACCAAGATGGTACACCCGACGTCTATCGGAACCTAGTTGAAAAGCTCCGAAGCCACAAATGCATTGACCAACCCATCCAAGAGCCTTTGAGTCCTGATTGGCGAGCGGAACAGGAAAGCATCCCGAAGCTACTGCAGACTCTCAAATCACAAGAGCAATGGATTCCGCGTAATGGAGACATTGTCATGTTCATCCGCCACCTGGCTGATGGAGTTTCTGTTACGAGACATGACGTTACTAACGAGCTGTGCTTGTATGATGAGCAGACGGACGATCTTCTCGACGTCCCACGCTGGGAGGCTGGTCTAGTAACAGAGGTGGCCCAAACACCGACCATTACTGATCTCTTAGAGCCAACCAAAAATTCAAACGTGTCATGCTCTGGCATGAGAGTAGAGCTGATCCCCAATCCAAACAATTCGGACAAATCATTGTCCAAGAAGTACAAGTACATCTCATTGCGCCAAAGCCGTCCTTTCTTTCTTTGGAAAGAGCTCCTGCATCACGTAGATCAAGACCTTTGGCACCCAAGTATCAAGAATGCTCTAGCTTTGACCTCAACTCTCTCACTTGTGGGGAAATATCGCTTTCGAGGAACATGGCCAGAAGCGACGATATACTGCCACGGCATCTTCGTCGGCTCAGAGATTCTGGCTGTTGGTGACACCGTCCGCCTTCTTCCAACAAAGTCCAATCAGGCTGTCTGTACCGACATCATGTGCATCAAATCCATCCGGCTAAAATGGTCGAATTTGGACAAGGCCTCGACCAACGACTACGATGAAGGACGGCCCTTCAACTCGGCAATCTGGTTATATGGTACCGCCTACACAAGCGATGCTTCTAGGTCAGACAAACGATGGGCATCCAATGATCGGCCTAGAGCAGCCGAGGGCTATGGGAGTTTCTACCCTCTTCATCCGCCAGACAAGGAACTTGCCATCCCTTACGCTCGTGTTGCTGGTCGCTTGTACGAGCGCAATGCCATGGCGCATCTTCTCGGGTATGATTCTCAGGATACAACACTCAGCCTCGATCTTGGTCGACAGGCTTTAATTGACGCGCGTGCATTTTCTCGAAGAAACGACGAACGCATCGCACAAACTGCCGATGCTACCTGGTACTGGGGTGATAATCGGGCCGAGGCATTGGGCCTGCGCACTATCAACGGGTTGGATGTTTCTAGGTTCAACCTAGAACACGATGTGAAGGCACTCCGTAAACAATATCGCATTCTTGATGCAGCGAACGCAAATGAGAATAAGAGCGAGGATGTGAAGCCCAGCCTGGATAACGCATTGGATGGCCGATTGCAGCGTTTCATGGCGCCCACACTGCCAGTCCTGGCGACCAGGGGAAGAGAATCTAGGCACAAACATGACGATAAGAAGCGGAGTCGGATTGTGAATCTGGAAGATGACTCGGACGATGAGATCAGACAGCACACAAAGGTCATCAACAATCGGGTTCCTCTGATCAAAAAGCCCAAAGTAACGGTCGTTATTGACTGAGAAGGTATTTCCAAGCCGGGTATTCAATACTCTACAGGCATGCATAATGGACATGGGAGCTAGGGAGATCCCTGATGTGAAAGGGATTCGATGAAGCGGTTTCCCCCGCACCGCTGATGACCACGCGTTTCAAAGAAATTCTCTGTTGTGGAGAAGACATTGAATGTTTATATGATTAGCTAGCAGGATGCATATAGTGTCGCTGCATGTGCTTCTATCCGAAGCTGCACTTATCAAAAATACATGTAACTTTAAAAACGGGGGACCAGCTGCCAAGTAGTAGGTAGGAACGACAAACATGGAATATCAAACAACTGCTTCAAGTTTTCTAGACTAAAAAATGATCTTGTGTATATTTGTGGGCACGATACGTGGGGGTCGGGCTCACATAGATACAAGGGGCAGAGCAAAAGGTGAAACGTAGTCACTGCCAAAGGAAAACCTTAAACCAAGGTAGCTTATTCTGCATACAAAGAAATGACAATGTACATCTCTAATCTAATCACGTCATACTACATCACAATGTATATATGCGCGTACGTACGTATTGTATATGATGTATATACCCTGGGTATCAATCAATCAATTTCTCTCTTCCCACCCTCGCTACTTCTTAATTCCCTTATCTGATGATTTTTTTTCGCATATGATCGTAAGCCATACTCATGCCCATACTTAATGATCGCTGTGGTTCCCCCAAAGTCCCTGATATGTATATAAACGAGAGACATAAGGATTGCTAGACAAAAAAAAAAGAAAACGCCGGTGATAATGCAAGTCTATCGTGATGCCGTTGCGTGAGGAGCCAAAGTGCAAGAAAACAGTAAAAAAAATGTGGCTAAATATGATGGAGTCATGAAACGATTGCGATCGTTGAGCGGAACAAAAAGGAATAAACAAACGAAATTATTTCTCAGCATCAGCGAGTGCATCGCCGAGGGCTTCGGCATCGTAGTCTTGTACGACGACTTTGGTTGGGGCTTCAGGTACGTCACCGAAAACGCCCCAGATAGGACCGGACTGATTGACACCGCTGGCTCTCGCCTTGGCCTTGTCTTTGGTCTTCTTGGAGCTCTCGGATCCTTCCTTGGACGAACCCGTGTCGGCACTCGACTGCGTTTGCTGGCTCAAGACGGATGGGGGACGGGTGGCAGACTCGGAGGGAGGAGCGGGAGTAGCGCCCCACTTGCCAAAGACCCAGCCGCCTACCTTCTGGGTGATGCCAGGGCTCGTGTTGGGTTGGTGGCCATCGCTCTTGCGGGGGCCTCGCTTCTGGTTCGCAATGCTCAGCATGGTGCGGCTGAGCATGCTGCCATCAGTTGCCTTGCTCGACAATGTGCCATACGCGGTGGCGCCCCACGCAACTTCTGGTCCAACAGAGCCAGCAAGGCCAACGTCTGCAAAGCGTGGAGAAGAGTACATGAGCTGCGAGGGTCGTGACTGTAGCGTGTGGATGTCCATGCCAGATATCGAAATGAGGGATGAGTGCGAGGCGTGGCGATGTAGCGAAGGACGCATGGCGGAAATGGGCGATACAAGCTCGTTAGGCTCAAACTCGGCAGAGTTGGCGATGGACGGTTCGGCTGTTGACAAAGAAGCCTCCTCGCACTCCTCGGGTATCGCGGCCTGAGGCTCGGTCTGCATAGCGGGCGAGAGGGAGAAACTATCGTTTGTAAAAGAGTTTGCGGGGCTAACCGCTGAAATGACGGCGCTGGCAGGGCTGCTCTTGGTAGTAAAGGAAATGGGTGTGCTAGAACTACGCATGTTGGACAGGCTTGGAGGCATGAGACCACGAGACTTGCGACGCGAGTGCCTGATGACGTTCTTGCCTTGGTCGAGCGTGCCCGAGCGTCTTCGACTGAGAGACGGCACAAAGTCATGATCCGAGCTGTAGTCGTTTGATTTCGCAGGGCCGAACATGGGAGAGCAAATGGAGTCTGGAGGGCTGGTTGGGCGTGACGAGTCGTATGCCTCGCTAAAGACACGATCATACATGGATCCGCGGCGCGAGTCGGAGACAGGCGAGCCGGCAAATGAGCCCGGGCCCAGAGTGGAGGCTTGAGACCATCGATGTGAGTTTGGCACTGTGACAGCAGTCTGGTTCAGGATGGCAGCGGTCGAGGAGCGCTCAAGCGTCGGCGGTGGGTCGAAGTGAGTGGGAGTCAGAGTAAAGCGCTTCTTCTTGGACCTGCCCCGGGCCGGTCCCTTTGATAGATTTCTGGGCGTCTTTGGAGCGTGGAAGTGGTGATGGATGTGCAGTTCTTGGCTGAGTGATTCCTGTTCCATTTCGAGTTCTTTTTGTAGTGTTGGGCTGGTGATTTCTCCGGATTGCGAGGGCGACATGGGCTGGTGGTCCCTGAGCTGATCTCGAAGACGCTCCACCTCTTCGTTTGAGTTGCCGAGCATTTCGCGTAGTTCCATGATACCGTGTTGTAGATTTGCGTTGTCAAGTAGAATGTCCTTTACGAAGTGAGAGACGACACCGTTGCCGCCCTTGTCGTGGCCTGCCTTTGCCTTGAGCCGGGTTGCAGCAGAGTTGAGTTCGCTTTCGACGGCCATGCGGCGTTCCATGCGGGCGACGACCTCGTGGTGTCGCTGGCGCTCGGCTCGAGATTCCTTTTCGATACGGTCAATCTGGTCCTGGAGGTCGCCAATGGTGCGTTCGGCCGCCTTCCATCGCTGGATGGCCGTCCGCTCGTCGACGAGTTTGGCATCGAGGCTGCGCTGAAGCTGAGACTGTTCCTTTTCGAGATCGATGAGCTGCTTCTCGAGCAACTGGGTTCGTGCAGCCAGGGAGCCGAGGCGGCCGATTTCGTCTTCGGTCGATCGCAGTGTGTCCTCGAGGGCGTGGATGTGGGCGTCGGATTCGGCAACGGTGTTGTTCAACTGCTCGAGCTGGTCGAGCAGGTCGCGGTTGGTCTTGATGGACTGGGCATTCTGAGTCTCGAGCTGCCTCTTGTCCCGCTCGAGATTCTCAATCGTGGCAATCATTTCTCTGCGCTCGCGCTCCGAGTCGGCTACATAGGCCTCGTGGCGGACTAGGAGAGCCTGCAGGGCAAAGGTTAGCGGCAGGCGCGGGCAGTGGCCAGTGATGGCGAGGTCATGGGCGCACATACTTGGCCGAGTTGAGCAGCCTTGGAAACGTCTCTTTCTAAACCTTCGAGCAGGCGACCGTTGTAAGCCAGGAAAGCACAATCATGGTTTCCGCAGCAGCAGCGAGGCGGGCCTGGAATGCCACTTAAGCCAAGGCCGACGGCGTCCATGGATGCGACCCCTCCTCGGTGTCTGGCGTCAACACGGGCGCTGGTTATCAATACTGTTTGGTTAATAATAGTAAAGCGGGTGCAATGGGTGTCGTCGGCGGCGCCACTGCAGTCCCGGGAGATTTGGGTTACCGGGAAGAGTGGAGAGCAATAAAGGGGGAGCGAGGAAAAAAAGAACAAAAAGCTATGGATAGGGAATGGATGAGCCGTCGAGGCACAGCGCGTGGTGTTATTGTGTTCCTGACTGACTATCGGCAGCGGGCCACCACTGCCCACTAGCCCAGGTGTCCCTGCCAGCACAGCAATTCCCCGCCCAACGCCAGCCACCGCCTTTTGCGCCCGCCGTCTGCCTCGCACTCGGCCCAGTCGTGCCAGAGACGTGTGTATCTAGGCGGCGCACACGCCCACCAACCCGCCGTGGCCACTGTTGCGCCCCTCGCGATCCGTCTGGCGTCGTGGAAGCGCATCGTCATCGTCATCATGCTCGCAACAGGCAGCCCGACACCGCCAATGCCGCTAACGCGAGACCCCCCAGCTCCAGTGCCGCTCCCCTGCACAAACTCTGAGATTGCCGGCGCCAATGCTACTCCCAATAACCTCGCAAAATTAGACCCAAAACAAACATGCTGCCTCTTGGCGCCTGCCCCTTGGACACAGAACACGACCGACACGGGCGACAGAGGGCGAGCAATGCAGCGTCTCGAGGGCAGATAAAGCCAGGCCGGTAGTAAGTAGGCAGGCCCTGTGGGTTGCAGCGAGAACAAAGTTGCGTCTCATCCATCTCATCTTTGACCGTCTCTTCTGTCTCAACACCACGCGACCAATGACATGGCGTGTCTGCCGGCCTCACCGAAACTTGCCAAAAGCAGACTACCCACCAGGCCGGCCTTCAATGCGCTCCAACAGGTGCGCGAAAAAGCAGCGTCTGCCACTGTCAGGGCGCGGCCCTATCAGCACCCAGCCAGACATGCTCACCCTTCGCTTCCTTCCATCAACCTCGTCCACCATCTGCGCGAGGCCCGACCTGCAGTACGCTACACGGTGTATGCTGGCCTGGGACTCATGGCAACCGTCGAGTCTACCTTTTGGTTCCACGTTCTGCGGGCCAAGTTCTTCCCCCGAGCCACCCAAGCAGACCGGCAGCGAGATGATGAACTGCTTGACAGCTTCAAGAGCGCCATTGCGGGCGTCCGACAAGCGTGGATGGGCAACTACCAAAGGTACTATGGAGCCCATCTATGGGGTCTGGGCTATGGAGGGTTGGATGGCCTGTAGGACCCTGGCAGCTTGTCTGCCTGATGCATTCGTCATGACACTTGACATGTGCCATTTCATATGTAGCAAGTGCGGTACGGTACGGCACGGTACTGTCGACCATTCGGAGCGTCCATGTACGTGTTGACAGAGCACGTGTCGAACTATCATGTGAAAACCCTAGCACATACGCTTTGTATTATACCAGATACTCCTTCTCGATTGGGATCCCGTTATAGTCAGGGGTGCCGTTTACACAACCCGAAACAGACCGTTCAGACAAAAAATGGTTCCAAACACACCGTACAAACCAACAGCTCTTTTGCGCACACGACCAACCTCCCAATCCAGCCCACCACACACATCTACCCACATCATTCCCGCTCGAACACCTCAGACCTACTTACCCGCCCCACGCTCCATGCAGCCCCTCCCGCCCCAAATTCCCAAACTGAGCACCTTGACGTCCTCACCGCCTTGTCCCAAACAGGCATAGCCTGCCGGCAGATTCCTTCTTGACGTGTAACCAGCCGCCAAGACCCGACAGCCGAAGAGACACCACCGAACACACGCGCCTTTCCCCTTGTCCTCCGCCGACCCACTCCTGCTGCCGTATGTTTACGTGGAGTCATACTACGAGTACAGGCTTGTTTCAGAACAGCATGGCATATGCGTGTGACGACACTCGTTGTGCGCATGACGAGGCGAGTGAGGCGATGAAACGTAGTAGAGTCGACGTGGTGCGAGGCCGGAGTCCGAGTGTGGGCTTGCCCGTTGTTCGAGAACGTTTTTTGCGTGGGTACGACGGCAAGGGCATGCATTGGTGACAGCAAAGGGTTATGATTAGTAGGTAGGGGGAAAAGGTATGGTCATGCTGGCGAGCACATGGTTGACTGGGTGGTCCGTCTTCGAGTCTGCGAGAGCGAGCATGCTGAAGCACCTTTTGAATGTGCACTAACGTATCCTAGTCGAAGTGTACCTGACATGCTTGATAGCACGAGTATTGTACCTCACCTGGTATCCTACAAAAAAAAGCATGTCTATAAACAAGCACCACTGTCTCTCTCTCTCCATCTATCCTTTAGGATCAAGAAACCACAAAACTTCTTCGACATATGCAGTACATTGCTCGATCAATCACTGCATGGACCTCCGTTCAGATATTCCGTGGTCATCACGTGACTCGGCGCTATCTGAGTGGCATGCAGCAGCTGTTGATTGCGCTTTGCGCAAAACTCGTGGTGGCTCGGGGTTTATTCATTCATTGTTTATTCTCTTGTAATAAAACCCTCTGCTACCATGAACTGCCCGACTATCCAGCTCTCCTATGTCGTACGGATTTGGAGCTAGTTCTTGAGGTACCGGTTGGACCACAACACGTATGCGACTTTACATCTGGTACTATTTGCAACTATAGTTTCTCTGCGATTTGTTTGTTGCCGTACTGTTCCGCACTCATGTTTGATGTAGAAGGAAGCTGGTGGTGCGCAGTAGGCTATACCTTCCTGGTGCAACAGTGGCTATCCTGCCGAGTACGCCGCCTAGCAAGTTTGACGCTTTATCTCTGTGGGAGGAGGATGGAGGAGGATGGCGAGGGTGCAGCGTCTATTGCGCTGCTCCGTCGGGTCTGTGCAAAACTCGCTGATCGTGTTGTTTTGTTTGTCGGCTGCAACTACATTAGCGGTGCTCAACCACGGACAATGTCTCGGCTTCTTGATTGACCGTTATGTAGGCGGAACTCGTGAACACCCGGCCCAAGAACCGGCAGATCGTTGCCATTGCAGGACTGAAGCGACTTGATGACGACGTCGCGCACCCGTGTATTCGTCTGCACTGCACTCTTGGAGGTGATATCCGCGTTGCCAGTTTTGTGAACATGATTCACAATAAGAGGACGCGCATTATTTATTCGATATCACTCCACGTCATATACCTAGGTCCAACATTACTTTTCTCTTCTCACCGTTCTAATGGTAGGTACGTCTTTTTTGTTCTCGCCTGCATCATAATTCAGAGTAAGAATATAGCTCAAATTGCCCTGGATTTCCTTTTTCAATCTCTCTCTAGCCTTCAACCATGCACATCCTTTTTCGGCAGTTGAAACAGCGTTCTTGACGAACACACCATCTGCTGAGTAGTTTGCACTGTCCGTTCTGCCCTTTTCATTCCCACATATCTCATCATGCCTTCCTTGACGCTCATCTTCGTCGACTGGAAGCTCTGGAACGAGCTCAATGGTTCAGTACTTGAAAATGACAGCGAGGGTGAGTATCATTTCGACTTGCGCAAATCGGCGGCCGATACAGCTTCGAGATCCTTCAGAAAACGGGAGGTAAGCGCCAGGTTTAGGACAGGAGCTGGCTTGGAGGCAAGATGGATCGATTCCTTTTTCTTTTTATCGGTATTCTATTTTCTTTCCTTCGGGCTAATTACCTTGGGAAAGGCGAGGCCATGTCAAAAGAGATTGCATAGGTGCTGGAAGAAAGAAAGACCAAAAACAGGGTTTTGTCTGGAGATTAACATGTAATATACTATATGTTGACTGAGACTACCAGAAAGTGACTGCCCTTATCTATTTGCTTCATATCAGACTATCTATCTGATGTATTCACCTATGTCTTTGATATAAAAGAGAGAGCTTACTAATAAGTCAAGAATTCGCAGTCGAACCATATATGATTGGAAAGCCCACGAGTGCTGTTTTAAGCTTGCAACGCAGTTCATGAGGGTCTAGAACAAGATGTAAGTGAACCTATAATTGAATACTTCTAGTGAGTGAAAGGCTACATAACCCTCTCTGCCTTTTTAAGTGCCTCAACCTCTTCAACAACGGCCTGAATAGATGCTGGATCGATAAGCTTGATAAATTATCAGTAAATAAATGTATAATCACATCGCTAAAATCACTCACTGTTGACACATCTCCAAAGTTCGTTTTCTCTCCTTCAAAGATCTTCCTCAGAATCCTTCGTATAATCTTACCCGACCGAGTCTTGGGAATATCGGAAACTACTATCAGAAATTTTGGGGTTGCAAACCCCCCAATGGCTTTTTTATGTGGAATGTGGCCTTTTCATTGAGTGCGCTGTCATGTTTGTGGCTGTCTTTGACAGAGACAAAACATAATAGTGCTTGGCCTGTCATCTCGTCGGATACGCCAACAACGGCTGCCTCAGAGACCGCCGATATTAGGAAAAGAATCTTGTTAGCGCTATCCGAAATCTCTAGCGTCTTGCATGAATGCTCCGTTTTTTCCTCCTTTTTTGTTGTTTTGGCTCGGGTTTATACTGGTGATGAATGGAGGTACTCACGATGCTCCAAAAGCGCAGCTTCTAATTTAGCTGTAGACAGTCGATGCCCACTAACATTGATCACATCGCCGATGCGACCACATACCCAATAATCACCCTCAGAGTCCCAGTACGCTCCATCACCAGTCAACTGCGATAGATACTATCAGCTAGGCCTTGAACCTGAAATCAGCCCGTATGGTATTTCTATGCTTACGTAGTAACCCTTGTACTGGTTGAAATACGTCTCGATGAATCTCGAATGATCACCCCAGACTGAGCGAGTCATGCTCGGCCAAGGTTGCCTGAAGGCAAGATAGCCTTCTTTGTTACAGCCGACAATCTCGCTTCCTGTGAAAGGATCAATAATTACAGGGTCAACACCGAAGAAGGGAACAGATGGACAGCCAGGCTTAGTGGAAGTGACCCCGGCCAATGGGGCGAGGGCATGGCATCCTGTCTCAATTTGGAAGTATGTCTGCAAGATGTTAGATGTCATCATTTACTCAAGTGGAATCAAGTGGGGAGCTGAACATCGACAACATGAGCTTCCTTTTTTCCCACCGACTCATAATACTAGAGCCAAACTTCTGGGGCAATAGGCTCTCCGATAGACCCCAGAACCCTCAGTTTGAAGGCTCGGTCAGGAATTGGTTCAGAACCGGCTTTTTTCAGCAACCGCAGTACTGTAGGTGCAGTGTAGAAATGCGTTACGTGGTGTTTCTCGATGATGTTTCAGTATCTCGAGGGGCTTGGAAATGTTGGTGTGCCCTCGCAAACTATTGTTGTTGATCCAAGAAGTAGAGGTCCGTAACACAGATATGTATGTCCAGTGATCCAATCAATATCTCCTGCACAAAAAAAGACATTTTGCTCGTGAAGGTCGAAAATATTGTTGCAGTGGCTCCAAGGAGGTAGCCAGCTGTTGTATGCATGAGACCTTTGGGCTTTCCTGTAGATCCCGAGGTATACAGCAGGAACAGTGAATGCTCAGCTGATAGGTCCTCAGGCTGCATATAGTCAGGCCATTTTTTGACTTCTTCATGCCACCACCGATCTCGTGAGGGCGTCCAAGGCGTATGTATCGTGCCAGTTCGTTTGAACACCAGACATCCAGTGACCCCTGGACAAGACCTCAATGTTTGGTCAACCACACTTTTCATGGAAATGGTCTTGCCCGCTCTTCGGGCCTCATCACTTGTGATTATGAGTTTGGATCCCGCGTCTAGTATCCTTTCTTGCAGCGCTTCTGCCGAGAAGCCAGCAAAAACAACAGAATGAAATGCATCGATCCGTGCGCATGCAAGCATGGCAATAAGAACCTCGGGAACCATGGGCATGTAGATTGTAACAGTGTCCCCTTTGGCTACCCCCATGTCTTGCAAGACATATGATAGCTGGCACACGCTCCAAAGGAGTTCACTGTACGTAATAATCCGAGTCTCTTCATCTGCGTTTTCCTCAAACATTATGGCGGGTTTTGAGGGTGTTTCGAGCGCATGCCGATCGACGCAGTTGTATGAGGCGTTGAGTCGCCCTTCTAGGAACCAAGCAGTATCGCCATTTGCGAAGTTTCCAGAGCTTACTGTTTGAAAGTCTTTATCCCAAACGAGCAATTTTCAAGCTAATTTTGACCAAAATAAATCTGGATGCTGAATGGATGCCGAGTACAGAGTTTGGTAGTGGCTGATGCCGGTGATATGAGGCTCCGAGGGATGTTTTCTAGGTCGCGGTTTTGGTCAGTCTGGAGTTGATCGAGCAAGATGAACAGAATTTATAGGTAGATATAAGGTACCGGTACAGTTTTTGTGGCATCTAGATTGTGCTAGCTCTTGGCATGATCCTGTTATCTGTTCGTAAAGACGACATTGCTATAGTAGTTCGTGGATGCTAATCCTGATTTTGCACGGAATTAAAAGAATGCAAAAACACAAGACCTAAGGCTTTATTGTGTTCAAATCATAGTTCTAGTAGCTACTATTCTGTTACATCGTACCGGCTCCTTCCTCTTCGGTTGCATTCACAATATCTTGGCTGCTATGTCTGATCGAACGGGCTTACTAGCGCATATCAGTCGACTCGGACCGAGCCGCCTGGGTCCGAACGACACTGATAGTTCTGGGTCCTCTTCGGATCAGTTTCCTGTTACCTTTTACTGACTGCATCCGGAAACCGCTTAGTCAGCGTCAGTACAGTAAGATAAGCCATTTGCCTCGCATTTCCCCACGTTTCGGCGAAATAGAGGTCCGGTTCCCAGCAGCACGTCACACCTCTAGCTAGAGGCCAGGGATTAACACTCTCTTTTACCACGTGGTCACACAAAATGCAGTAATTTCCAGTGGAACTAGCCGGATACGTGACTAAGATTCTACAACGAAATAGACTTTCAATTGAACAGCATCTCCGTGTTGTATTCCAATCTAAATAAGTTTGAATTCAATACTGAGCAATATTATTTTACCCGAAAAAGGTATGTGAAACGTAGACACAAGACGCGTAGCCGTATAGGCTTCCATAACTTGACATTATATCCGTAGAACTCCCCTGCTCTCAATCAATAGGTTTAACTGGAAACCACAAACCAAGTAAGTTATCCGGCCGAAATACGCCATCTTTGCTACGAAATATCATCACCGCTCCTATTTTATTATTTCTCAATCGGAAATAAAACAAAAGTATAATCATGGTAGCACTATATGTACCGTAACCAAGTGATATGAAGCGATATGCTACTAGTAGGGTTGCGGTAGGAATGTGAGTTTCCAGGCGGTTTTTAGCATACCGTCAGTGCTGGGCGAACTTTTTCTCCGACTTCATCCGGCAACCGAGAGCCCTGTAATTAGTGTTAAGCTAGCACAACCGATGTTTGGAATATTCTGCACCAGAGGCACACGTATGTTCCTTTCTCATAAATACCAAAAGCCTATGGCCTGTGATGCGTATTAGAAAACGTAACCTTGAAACTTTCGCGTTCCATGTTCTTAGTACTGAAGCCAAATGCGGAAAGAGCGTTGTTTTTTACACGCCTAATTCTACTTCCCAAACTGTCCAAAGGACAGCATGCTTAAATTGCCGTGGAAAGAAAGTGAGCCCCCTCCTTTATCACTTCCCGGAACTTGTATCCATCACTTATGCACTGCTAACACAATCCACAGCTCAGATGCGAAGATTAGAAGATAACATGTGATCAATGTAACTCCAAGAAGCTGAAATGTGTATACCCCCAAAACGCCAACCAGATGCATAAATGAATCGTAAAACGAAAAGGCCCTCGATAAATCGAACGTTGTATCACAGACCAAGGTTTCTAATGCTGGCGGTGAAATTCGCCCTGAACCAGGGTGTCATACAGCAGAGGCAGGGTCTGGATCTGAGAGCACAAATTCATCAACCATAAATTTAATGCATGAAGACTTTCCGAATGAATCGAAAGGTTTTGATTTTTGAGCTCTACTGGGAGCTGCTGGAACGCGAGCTTTCTACAGTTGAACTTGCAAAATGTACAGCCTGATGAACATAAATAGTAGGCAAGCTACTCGGGGAGAGCTCCGTGAATTGATAGATATAGACCTTGACTCTTCAACACCTCTCTTAAGTTCAAGAAAAAGCTTAGAAAACAAAGATGAAGCTCGTCATCAAGCTACGAAACCGTATTCCCTTCTCGAGGATATGCTCACATTCTGCTTACCGCACAATTTCAATTCCTGTTCCATGGTAACCAGATAACTCGACTATGAAAAAATGACCATTGCAATGACTTTCACTTTGAGCGAAATATATCCACTAGAAACCCAATGAGCAATGGTGAGAAAGCACTCGAACAGGAAATGCACCCAGCAGATCTCATCTCCAACAATGCGCACGATTCCCCGGGGTTCAACACAATCCCAGAATCAACTCATCGAATTCCCCAAATATCTGGCTGTTCCCAATTAGGACTTGAAGATTCGTATGAAGTCTCTCAAAAGCAGAACGCCTCCTCCGTCTCCACATCACTGGCCACCTGCTATTGTTCAAGTATGGTTCTAGAAACTTTGCAAAAGGTCAACAGGGGGGCTATCGACAGAGAGACTAACCAAATATATCAAGATCTCAACATTAATAAGGAACTTATGGATCGCTTGTTGGTTGAGGTTGCATGTTTCGCATGCGGCCATCAAGGCAATCTCATGATGTTGATTACAGCTACTTTCGAAGAAACTATTGATTCATTTGATCGCTCACTAAAGTAAAGAAATATAAAAGCAAGACCACAGAACTCGAGTGGCAATATCTTGAACTGTTTTTTTGTCAATGAAATAGTTCTAGGATGTGAGAAGAAGCAAAACAGCCTTCCTCGTTTTCAATTGATGCATCACAGCATGATTAGGAGGACTATGTTTTGTTAACTTTACAAAGATGGCAATTAGATGTGTTAATAATTAATTAATGATATCTATTACTGATATTCTCTGCTATTACAGACGGCCCGACTGTCCAACTCTCTTATATCATACTGATTTGCAGGAAGTTCCTGAGGCACCGCTCGAACTACAGCAAGTGTAGGGGACTTTACATCTAGTAGTATCTGTAGTCCTGGTTCGTGTACCGCTTCTATTGCCGTGTTACCTAACCTTCTTCTCCGATGCAGAATGAAGCCAATGGCAATAAGTAGGGCTAGACCTCCTAATGCACCAACGATTATCCCAGCGATTGAGCCCCCTGAAAGCTCTGACGCTTCATTTTGTGGCACTAGGATATTGACAGAAGAGGTAGGGGAAGGTGCAGCATCAACTGATCTATCAGTCGAGTTCATGCAAAACTCGCTAACTATGTTGTTCTGTTTGTCGACCGCAACTACATTAGGGGTTCTCGACCCCGTGTTCGCTTGCCAGACGGAAAATCTCTCGGCTTCTTGGTTGACCATTATGTAGGCCGAGCTCATCAACAGCCGGCCAACTGGGAGATCGTTGCCATTATAGGACTGAAGTGAATTGATGACGACGTCTCGCACCGATGTATTCGTCTGCACTGCGCCATCAGAGGCAATGTATGTGTCGGGAACAACGAGTTCGGTATTGGGAATCTTTACTGAGACGCTATTCTGAAGCCGGATTGTCAGACCTCCATAATAACTACCTCACGGTCATTAGGTTATGTGACTTTTGAACAGGGATAGCTATGGCACTTACGCGTTGCTCGGATCAAAGAGCATTGTAACGTAATTAATACCGAGGCTTCTTGCCTCAGTCCTGTTGTCTGGAGGCGTTCCGCCAGTGAGCAATCTGAAGTTGTTGTAATAGCTTAGTGGAAGTGTCATTAGTCCCGCAAAGCTAGGACTTATGCATGCTTGTATCGCCGCTGACTGTGACCCCATGAAGACACTCATGTCGGTACCGTTTGGCCAGTTCAAGAGTATGTCGCTAATTGTTACTACCATGCCCGTCCCACAGCGGCTGCCTCGGAACAGTGATGCTGTGAAGTTGTCATTTGGATCTGAGATCAACGATCTATCCAGACCGCCGAGAACCAATGACCCTCCAGTCTGTTTTTCGGCGGGACCACCGACGAGTCCCCAAAATATGGAGTAAACTTTTGTACCTATGTCGCCGGCGGATACGAGTGCTTGTAAAAATGATGAATTCCTGCCCAAGCCGAGCTGTGATTGACTTGTGAAGGCCTGATTAAGGTCTTGTTTCGGAACGCCGAATCCAAACGAAGAAAGCGATGTATTAATGCCGAAGCTAAGAGTGTCTTCCATCCAGTCCGCTTTGAAGCCATCACTATCCTTTCGACTGCTGATCGACTTGTCCGTAGACGATTTCGATGCATTGTATGTTCCACCACGGAAGGTTACGCATGCTCCCGATGAGTAGGAATCTGTACAGAATCCATCAGTTCCGTAAATGTAGGTCTCGTTGTAATCTCTGTACGCGGTACTGGTTAGCTTGCAGCATCTTTGACACTCCTCGAGACATGAATTGTAAGATTTACCCGCTGGCGAAGAAAGAGATGTTCTGATTGTTGGAGCCGACGGTCATAGAGATTCCCCTCACATGTGCTCCATTTGGTAAAGATACATTCTGGATCGGTGCAACAATAGGCTGTGGCTGGCACTGACTATTAACAAAGGTGACGAGATGCAAAACTCCTAGAGTCAGTAGGAACATGCCCATTGCAATGGTGATATTGAAGATGACGACGCAGAGAAATACTCAAGGGCTAGTGACTGGTGGGTGGCATAGGGAAATAATAACGCAGCAAGGTACTTCTAGCAAATAGCGCTTAAACGAGTCGCAGAGCATGTACATCCAAATTAGGTGTTATGTTGTAGTGAGATCACACCAACCCACCAACCAGCGAACAGTTTTGTTAAGCGCTGCCAAACGCCGCTTACTACTACTAGCGCCGACCCCGACCTCTCTGTAGCAATGTCAAATAGCCCCACTCCCCTGTGCGAACTGTGCCGCAATGCCACATCGCGAGATTGCAGGCTATAACAAAAGGTCCCCTTTGTTTATCGCAAGAAGCGCCCTTCACATCTCCCATGAGGAATACTTTAGGCCTTGCGATCTGATTGTTCTTCATGTCCTGGTAACCAGCGTCTCCTCTGATCTCTGTACATCACCTGCGCACGTACGTGTGAAGCAAGTACCGAGCTTCCATGGCATTTTTCTAACAGGCTTCAGAAGCAAGCTATCACATGACCACTTGGATCACTCTTGGAGTACCTCAATCACTAGCCATTACGAAATGATGCATTCTCGAAGGAAAATCGAATTCGTGTTGGTAGCAGTGTTGATGCTCTGCGTATGGTTCCTCGTTGATGCACACTTTAATAATGTTCAAGAAGAAGGTGTTGAGGCCAGTGTTGCTGAGAATCCATGGCGATATGAGGCAAAAGAAGAAGATGAGTACAAGATATCGGATCAGGAAATCGTTCACGATGTCACGGAAGAAACGCCATGGGCATCCATGGCCGCTCAACATTCAAGAACGCCGATGCAAATTCATGCTGTCGCAACACCCAGCCCATCTCTACCCGATCGCGTCGTGGTAATGGCAAAGCTTCCCACCGACGACACGCGCTGGGTGCATACCGATCTTCCAGACTGGCAATCAGCCATCTACGACATTGACACTGAGACTCCGCACGAGACATCCAATCTGGATCCGCTGAAAAACGGTACTCTGCGTATGCTGCGGAACAAAGGGATGGAAGCAAATGCCTATCTCGCATACATTGTGCAAAACTACGATAACCTCCCTTCAACAATCGCCTTCATTCATCCGCACAAAGACGGCTACCCAATCGCCTGGCATACCGACAACAGCGAACATTCGAATGTAGTATCTCTAAAAACCCTCAACATTAATTTCATCCAGCGTAATGGCTATGCGAATCTGCGTTGCGTTCCTGATCCTGGCTGCCCACACGAGGTGATGCCGTTCCGAGATCCGCCCGAGGAACATCGAACAATCGAAGCAGCGATGCCAGATGCGTGGCGGGACTTGTTCAACAATACAGATGTACCGCATATACTGGCCACTCCTTGCTGTGCACAGTTTGCCGTGTCGAGCAAGCAGGTGTTGAAGCGGCCGTTGGATGAATACAAAAAGTACTATACGTGGTTGATGGAAACGCCGCTAAAGGATGAGACCAGTGGGCGGGTGTTTGAGTATCTTTGGCATATTTTGTTTGGCCAAGAGCCCGTCTAGTAAGTACTCGGGGAATGAAAATTGCGATGCGCGGTTGCTGACTTTAATTAAGCTGTCCTGCATACGAGAAGTGTTATTGCGATGTGTACAACAAATGTTGAAGTATCCTTGTTTTTGGTAAGATCTGCACCACTTGGGTATTTGTCGGCGATGTTTTCGATCTTGCTGAAAGATGGAAGCTGGTGTGGACATGCACTCAAGATCCTAGCACGTAGTAGATGCAACGCGCAGCCATCATTCTCAGCAAAGCATGACACGTGGAAACACTAAACACTATTAATAGCAGATGGAAGCCATGACTTGTAAACCGAAAGTCTTTTGCTGGGTTTTGTACGGACCGGGCGGTCGTATGTCGGGTAAGACATGCCTAGCGCAGCAGATTGGGTATCGGGTCGACAGTTTGGACCAGCACGAGTGGCGAGAGATTCGGCAGACGTAGAAAGTAGCAGTCCGAGGGCTCTGCCGGTACTAGGTTCGTGTTGAAATGGAGTTAGTGAGCTGCTAGTTTGTGCCGAGGTAGAAGCGTATGCAGGGCCGTGGATCCTGGGCCTGGCTGTGTTTGGTAGGTATCACGCATCTGTGGATTGTGTGCTGCCGTAATTAGAGGCCGAGCATCTGCAATGGTTTGGGTTAGTGCATGTACATACATATGTACTACGGTGTCGCCGAGGGGAACTTTGCAAGACAGTCAGCGGGTGGACGAATGCCAGGCTGATTGCTACCAGCCCAGAAGGTTGTGTGCTTGTGCAGTGCATCGAGAATGTGTGAGACGAAATGTTTGATAAGGCCACAGATAGAGGAGAATTGCAGGGTTGCTGGGGCAGCGAGTCGAGTGTACAAAGGCCATTGGTGACGTGAGGCAGGGGGAATGGTGGTGGTTAGCGGCGGGAGGCAGAGAGGGGCGGGACCGCACAAGCTTTCTTCTCGCTTGCACTTCATCCACCCTCGCCCCTGGCCCGCGCGATGACGAGCAGACAGCCATGAGCGTCATTCGCCCTCGTATTCTTCCCAGACACGGTTGATTCCCCACATTTTGCTGTGGCAAGACCAGCAGCCGTTGCTCTCATGGCCATGGTTTCGCTGGGAGCCCAGGGCAAAGGGGGTCCGCGGAGTCGAAGACGCCATGGCAATCAATTGGATGCAACAGGCTCAAGTCACCATATAAAGAGTCGGATAACTGCATGGGGCTTTGCACGACGTGTGCCACTCGCAGCGGGATACTGCCAAAGCCGGTTTCTTGATCCAAGCCACACAGTTTGCCTGCCCGCGTCTGTCTCGAAGATCGCTCGTGTCGCAGCGTGGCAGTCCATGGCAGACGACATTGAGGTTACTTAGGCGTGGTTAGTCTTGCGGGCGCATTGGTTTCGCGACACGACAGTGCTGTCAAGCGCAAGAGATCGACAGCCTGCTACGGCCTAGGTTGGGGCATCCTTGGGAGCGAAAGCGAATGTCGATCCGGCTTGGGATAGTGTCTGCGCAAGCAACGTGAACGGGTATATTCCGATGACCTCACCGTGACCGTCAGCCTTCCGGCAACTTGCGAACCGACTACACGGCCATGGGATGGAAGCGCAGTCAATTGGCTCGATGGGCAAAAAATAGCTCGGTTAGGGCTGCGCGTGTTGTATCGGCCTGTCCTGCAAACAGCGCGCGGCCGGGGGAGGTGCGCCATGGTTGTGCACTTGTGCTCAGCCGTGTCTCTCTTTCTCTAACATGTTGCACCTCTGCACCCTCGTGAGCGTCCATTCACTCTCACCTCGCTCACTTTGGCTTTCCGCGCCAGCTTTCAGGCCTCACCAGACCTGATTTTGCCCCATCACTGTGCATTCATCTGTCGCTCCATTGTTCCCTCCATTCCTCTCTCGCAGCATCTACCTAGCCAACTATGCCATCTGCGCTGGTGCTGCGGCGCATTGCCATTGTCACTGCTCTGGTAGCCTGTGCGACTGCTCAACAGTGCTGTAAGATACTTTTAACCATCTCTCATGCACCCTCACTAATTGACAACAGACTACCCCAATGGCGAAAAGGCCCCCGACACTGAGCAACCTTGCTCCTCAGCAGAGGGCTCGGCCTGCTGCCCGGAAAATTGGCAGTGCCTTGACAATGGCCTTTGTCACTATCCTGCTAACAACTTGTACGGCAGATATAGCTGTACTGACAAGAGTTGGAAATCGCAAGGCTGTCCCTCCAACTTGTGCACCTACGGTTAGGTCTCGGACAACTCTATTTAAACAGTGCTAACAAGCATCAGATCTCAAAGCTGGTGGTGGCGAGTCGATAACACAATGCTCTGACCACAATGACCAGTGGTGCTGTAACGCTGATGCTGTGCACGTCAATTGCTGCCAAGAGTCTCCATCTCCGCGACCCTTCTTTGCCCTGCAGAATCCAGCAGCATATGCCACCATTGGCTCCATGACAGCATCAACCGCACCAAACCTTGCAAGCATAACAGGCCAGGCAAGTGGAAGTGGATCTGGAGACCAGATCTCAACATCGCCAACATCTACGCCCCAGTCTTCCTCACCATCTTCGCCGACATCCTCGCCGCCGACTTCAAATACCCTATCGTCTCCTCCCTCAGGCGATTCATCTGCATTGGCAGATTCGAAATCCTCTGCTACTCCATTTACTTCGGTCTTTTTCAGTCTGTCATCAGGCTCTACTGGATTTGTCAGTGTGCCTGTCACAAGCGTCCTCACACCTACCCCAGGCACTGGCAACGCGAAAAACGGTGGCGGTAATGGGGGCGGATCAAACTCGAATTTGGGGTTGATCATTGGCTGTGCAGTGGGCATTCCTTTGGGACTTGCTTTGATTGGCATCATCTTTTTACTTTTCCGGAAGAGGAGCCAACAAAAGAGTGACACATACAGCAAAGCCGATGGAACCGATGAAGACAGCTCAAACATTGCAGGTGCTGCTGGCGCCAAACTTACAAAGAAGGAGATGTACCGCAACTCCGCGTCTGCTGCTGAAATAGATGGAAACCCTATAGGCGTTGGGCGACCAGTCTCCACTATTCAAGGCCACGCAGAACTGGCATCAGGAAATGGATTTCAGGTAGGACACAGCACGCCCTACGGACCAGATGCAGTTGGCATTGGCGGCGGAAATCTCCATCCAGATCGAACCACTTGGAACAGTATGCCACCTCAATACTCACCGGGGCAAAACCAGGCGCCATTCAGTCACCCAGAAGCGAGCGAGCTAGCAGACACAAGCAGAAGGCCAACCGTCGATGAGAAAGGAGAACAACAGTATGTAGCATACAGGCCGCAACCAGCAGAGATGCCGACTGTAACGACTCCGCCTCAGGATGTGGAGAAGAAGCTGGGTCCGTAAAGCAAGATCAAAGCCTATGTAATTTCGACAGAGAACACGCATGTACATGGTGCGCTGCATGATACA